AATTATATAAATTTATAAATTATTTAAATTTATTATTTATTTATAAATTATCAAGTAATTTTTGAAAACTGTTTTCTTCTTGTTTGTACAGTCCAGTGTGAACCTTGGCCTCCTTAAAAACTCTTGCCAAAGAGTATATTAAGTCAGATTTTTAAACCGTTCATTTTTTTATAGGGGTATTACTTTATTTTTATAACTAAAAATAAAAACTAAAATTTGACATCAACAATTTGAAATGCTATTTCTGTATAAATTTCTGTATACAACTTCAAGAATTCAAATGAACCATCAACTTTTATTTTATTTTATTTTTAAAAATTTTTTGTAAATCTGTTTATAGGATTTCAGTTATTATCGTTGCAAAAATGAAATAAAATATGCACCATTTTCAGTTTTGATTGCTTTTCGCTTTGGTAAAAGAGCAGCAGCTTTGTTATATAAAAATAGATATGAACCGTGTAGGAAGAAATACCCGTAAGCTACCTTACGTGCTATATTTAAAATTTGAAGCAATATCGTCATAAGATATTGTGCACTTCAAAAATTGCAAGTCTTTGATTGAAAGTAACCTAAGATATATATAAACTAAAAACCTACCCGTGATATTTGAGCATTCATATCCTCAAAATGTATAGTGTTGTGTGCATTACTTGCACTCTATAAGTCCCATCTCTCATCTAAAGATAATTGCAGAAACCACTTCGGCAAAAGTATATGTCGGTCATTCATTTTTTATGCTCATTGTTAAGAAAAAAACACTAAACATAAGAAGGCGTATAAAATGTACTGAAATTTATTGATAAAATAGTCTGTAGGATTAAAAAAATTTCCTTGTGTTTTATAAAAAATAAGAACTATGAGTTTGTGCCGTAGTGCTGACAACCAGGTAGATGTTTATCGGACCCTGATGAATCTTATAAATTGTATCTATTTCAATTTATGTATTCCATATGTTATAAAACGCAATCTGATTTATATGACCTTTCCTAAAAAAAGAATATTCTAACTGGTTTTATTATAGGGATTAACAGGGTTGTATATTAAAGATAACATATATTTTTTATTCATAGATATGAATATATGATTATTAAAACATTGGAGCATACAGACAGCTCCTGCCGTTAGTAGTGCTAACAATTTTTTCCTTCAGTTTTTAAAACGAGAAAATATTACCAGAAAAATCAATCAAGTATTTTTACCACAATATATAATATTGCTTCTAATAACTAAACCTATGCTTTATAATTTTCGGCCTGCAAAGATTTGAAAAACTTATATAGTTTTATCCATTCCATGGATCTGATTTGGCAACATTTTTTCAGCGACATATAACAAATTTCATGTGTCAACGAATCAAATTTTCGCTTAAGGCACAGTGAAAACTCACAAATAGATGTCGAAGAACCATTTCAGTCGTAAAATTCTATTCTATGCTGAAGCACTACTATATGTGTGGAAGTAGAATAAACCTGTTCATTTTTAAAAAATACCGAAAGTGTAATCCTAGACCTTAATTCTGATCGCAACAAGCACATGACCATCAATTATATTGATGAGAAATTAAAGGAAGATATGTGGTTTCATGATGCCACAAGCCAAAATCCAAAATCCATAAAGGCTTAATGAGTTTTTGATACGAGAACCTTTTAAGCGTGTAATTTCATCTTATGATGAAATGAATTAGCTACCAAAATGATTCTGTTTAGGCGGACAATCTTTTCAAACTCTAGATGTTCAGAAAATAAATATCCATTAAGTAATGATCGAACTATGACAAATATGGGCCGACAAGCTACTGACAATTATGAATTCAGTATTGTAATATCTTCTTTGAGAGCAGTGCTTTGAATGAAGTTGTACATCACACCTAACAGCTAGATCCAAACAATATATTCCAAAAAAAAAAATTGGTAGAAATTTTAAACAAAAATGCGTTTTATGTATGTTTACTTTCGAACCACAAAATGGATAGTCCTACTTCCAAATAACAGATTCTTATCAAGTCAGTTACTATGATATATATATTAATATATTTCATAAGTTTGATAGTTCCAATTGTCTTTCAGAAAACCTCGTAGTATAGTTTCTTAATTTTATCAACCACAATTATTTTTAAACAAATCTTATTAAAAAATAAGACTAAAGACATAAAGAAATATTATATATATTGTTAAAGGCTTGTGTGAACCTAAAAAAATATACTAAACAAATTTAATTAGAACGACTTATTAAAGTCTCCACATGGATTACATCGCGATTAAAAAAACGAAATGTTTTATAGTTAAACCATATCAAATTATTGCAAAAACATAATAGACCTATAACATATAAAAAGCATTCCAGGAACAATTTCATGAACATTGAAAAACTAAGCCTTGACTTTTAATTAATTAACAATAGAGTCCGTTATTATATGTTAATAACATTATACCCAACCAAAAAACAATAGGTATGTCATAACTTTAATAGAAACTTTGTTGCAGCTGAATACAATCAGTGGAACGTAAAAGTTCTGGAACTATTCTTTGCTAAGGTTAAAATCGTAAAGATATCAATGTTCGTCATATACAAATGCATATAATCTTTATGAAGTTATATAAAACTAAATTAGAAATAATTTTTTTTCCGAATTGAATTCCTTTTTGAATTCTTCATAGAGCCACCTTTAACGCGAACTATAGCTCTGAATACGTGGATAAACGACTTTACACTTCACGAATTTGAAACTCCTTGAAACTCCGGAATATGCTTTCATTCATGAAGAAAACATTTCTTAGGCTTATAGAAAATTATTTTTATTGCAGACTTTCGTCCATAACAAGAAGTCAAGTAGTTCCGCATCTGATCTTAAAACCTGCAGTCTTCAAGTTTTCAGTGTGCACCAAATTTTATTTATATATTTTTTGAAGATAAATATAACTAAATAATAGATCGGTATAGAATAGAATCATATAAATTGTGACTATAAATATCATTCTGTTTTAGATAGGCACATTTGGTCAAATTAGATGGTCCTATTTGATTTAAATGGTATCGCTAAGAAAAGTGTAGGTTAATCATTTTTCTGCTCAGAAACGCCAATTCTTTAATTCTATATAAAAATGTTGTTATAGTCCGAATCTATAAAGCTGGTAATATAAAAGGAAACACAAGACGAATACATGAATTAGAATTTCGATAGTTATAAGTGGTGTGAAAGGCAAGATGATTATTTAAGAGTGAAAATGGATTAGGGAATGGGTTGGATTTAAATTCAAATCAACGAGAATCAAGGCGGAGAAACCTAACCACTTCTGTGAAGCGGCTTCTTTATAAGAATAAGACCTTCTAATGCCTTTGCTTAGCGAAGATATAAATATACGCTCTTTTATAATTGTGATTATTTTTCTCAGATGTGTTGAATACTAACCACTTCTGTGGGCGGGTTCTTTATAAAAATAAGACCTTCTACTGCCTTTGCGTAGCAAAGATATCAATATTAGATCTTTCATAATTGTGATTATTTTTCAGATGTGTTGAATACTAACTACTTCTGTGGTGCGGGATCTTTAAAAGAATAAGACCTTCTAATACCTTTGCTTAGCGAAAATATAAATATACGCTCTTTTATAATTGTGATTATTTTTCACAGATGTGTTGAATACTAACCACTTCTGTGGGGCGGGATCTTTATAAGAATAAGACCTTCGACTGCCTTTGCTTAGCATAGATATAAATATACGCTCTTTTACAATTCTAATTATTTTTCAAATGTGTTATATACCAGAATAAAATATTTTTTAGAACCAATGTTTGGATTATATATATCTTTCTATATACAACGTTTTTTAGAACCGATGTTTGGATGGTATATATATTTCTTGAATAGAATTAATGTATTAAATCTGAATTCGACACAGTAACTAATAAATATCTTTGTATAAAATATATAGTTTGCTGTTTTTATATAGAAAAAACTTTGTAATTTTATTAGAAATGATGTTTGGATTATATATATCTTTCCTGACACAGTAACTAATAAATATCTTTGTACAAAATATATAGTTTGCTGTTTTTATATAGAAAAAACTTTGTTATTTTATTAGAAATGATGTTTGGATTATATATATCTTTCCTGACACAGTAACTAATAAATATCTTTGTATAAAATATATAGTTTGCTGTTTTTATATAGAAAAAACTTTATAATTTTATTAGAAATGATGTTTGGATTATATATATCTTTCCTGATTAGAATTATATTGTATGAAGTTTACATTCTACACACTAATTAAAATCTTTATATAAAAAATATTAATTATATACCCCTTTTTTTTTTTTTAATAAAAACTTTAATTTTAATTTCTCACTAATTTTACTTGTTTTAAATATGCGAGAACGAAATAATTAATTTTTATCAATTTTATTATAATCATATGAGACCAGTTTTTGCATTAATAGATTTTGAGGATATAATTGAGAATTCGTATTTTTTTCTAAAAATATTTTTATATACAAAAAATAATAGAATTAGAATAAATGTTTTTAAAATAAATGGAATTTATAATTTTTGAAGGGATGCAATATACTTTAGAAGTTTATAAATTGATTGAACATTTTTGAGGTCCTTTTCGTGTCTGTTCCGACACAAAATATGCTCTCTTTGAACGAGCAGGAAAGGCTGCTGCTGCTGCTACTGCAACAACAAAAAATTAGATACTAAAAAAATTGTACAATGAGAAAATTGTTAACTGTAGTTGCTTTATTAAGAAGTTATTTTACCAAAAAAAAAAAAAACTTTAAATAATGTTAAGAAAAATCATATATAAATAAATAAGTTTAAAAAATTAAAACTAAACCGTTTTATATATTTTGTATACAATACATTCATCCACTCCGAAATGTTGCAAAAACATTTCGGCTCCACCCGAAGTTAATTTTTTTTTATTTGATTTTAATGGAAAATTTTACAACTTAAATTCTAATTTTGAATGTTAATGTTAAGGAATCGAAAAAGTTACCTTTCATGTCCTTCTGTCATGATTCGTAATCAGAAAGATTCTAATATAGTAGCGTATAGTGTCGGTGGTCAATTTCAACATGATTAAAGCATAAAGACATTCAGATGTTCACGAACTTCCGACCGACACTAGTAAGCAGGGTAGCAGGTTAAGCAGAATACGTGATGTGGTGGAATTCGGGGTCCTTTTTGGCTTTTACTGTGCACGAGTGTATGTGTGTGTATTTGCAACCGAGGCCAGAATTTTTTTCTTATTATATCCGACGTAGAGTCACAGACTAAACTCCATTAACTTTTTATTAAAATACAATTAATGTACGCAGAATTGCAATTTTTTTAATATGTACTCAATTTTTGAATTACATTTCAATTTCATATATGAATATAATTACAATTTTCTCTTCTTTTTTTCGATTTTCTTTTTACATTATTTTGCATTACATACACACATTCATTTACACCTTCAAATATCTATATGTGCACACATAAAGAAAAATTTGTTGATTTCCACTTTACAACTAAAAACTTAAATATACAAGTTTAACTGATATGCCGACATAATTACTAATTTTTTTTTTTTAATAATTTTTTGCACACATTTAGAGATTTTCTTCAAATAAATTTGAGAATCAACATAACAATAAAAATTATTTATATGTACACATCTTACACGCTAGAATACAAATCTTATTTTGTGTAGATGAGCGAACTCCAAGTTTATGTATGTGGTTCATGGCACACAAATTGGACAATTTTCAAACCCTGTGTGCAGAAATGAACACTGTTGCCCACAGTGTGCAATTGAACCAAGATTTTGTGTATTGTGTAATGAACACCATCAACAAATTCTGTTGTTTTTTGATATTTTTATACATAAACTGTTAGCTATTATTATAAAATATAAAGTTGTAATATATACAATATATAATAATTTATTAGCCGATTTATTATTATTGGTCATTTAAATAGAAATAAAAAGACTATAATTTATTATTTTTATTTAAAAAGAATTTATATTTTATTATTATTATATATATTTTATTATAAATTTTATACATATTTCTAATAAACAATAAAAAATTAAAAATAGAAATATATATATAAAAGTAAAAATATAAATATATATAAACATTTCTATTTTCAAACAGTTTTCAAAATCACTTTTAAGTGAGCTAAAAAACAAAAATTTAGAGCACTTTAAAATCTGCTATCAGCTGATAGCTGACCTTCAAAGCTTAAAACTAATGTTTAAAATTGGTCTTTTATACTAAAATTGGTGTTAAACTCCTTTTAGTAAGCTAGAAATGTTTTTAAACAAAATTCTTTTAAAAATGTTTAGTTGAGCTAAAATCGATTAAAAATGCATTAAAACAATTTATAATAGCCCATTTAAGCTAACAGACTAATACATTAATTTATAAGATTAAATGAAAGTATTGCAATTAACCGAAATAGGTGTTTAACATAAAGGATAGAACCCTGAAATTATTTGCAAAACTGACAGACTTACCAACACCGCGTTATCAAATCTCAAAATGGTTACAGGCTCTTCGGGGAGGTATACAGACCTGAGGTCAATTATTGCTTAGTCTGATGAAGTGATAAGCAATAATTTAGTCAAGATGTAAAGAGAAGTTTTAAAAATACCTCGAGTTAAAAAAGAGTATAAGTGCTTAAGTGCACTAGCTCAAAACAGCTTCAACATAATCACATAATAAGTGTTTAACCCATTAAGTACCAGGCAATTTCAAATGTGAAATTTTACGGTGAAATTTCTATAGTAAATAGTAAAATAAAATAAGTTTAAGTAAATGAAAAATGTTTAATATTTATTTAAATGATTACTCTCACTTTCTTTTTACCTAAAAATTATAAAATATTCTTTGAATATTAAAAAATATTCAAAACTAGCCGTGCAGTGTACCACACTGTGGTCCGAAGCTAGTCATTTTGACAAATTGCAATTAACGTAACATCAAATACACATAAATTAAATAATTTTACAATTTTTTTTGAAAATTTCTAATAAAAAAATTATGTTTATAATTATGTTTTAATATAAATGGTTTTAAAAGTAAAAAAAATTTATTTCAGTTTTTTTGCAAAGTATGAGTTTTATTGCAAACTATTGTATTTGCTAAATTCAGCTGAATTTGAAATAAAAAAAATCAGCAAGGTAACAATTGTTAGTAAAAGAAATAAGAATCATTTAACAAATAATATTGTTTTAAAGTATTATAGTAATAGACATGTAGTGAAAGTGACAGATGAATTAATTACATTCATGTAAGTAGTTATGAACTTAGTTGTAATATAATAATAGCATCAACAGTTTTTTTTTTTTTGTAAATTAGACAATATTTCATTTTAAAACAGTTATGACATGATTAGAAGCAAGATTTTTATAAATAAATAAACAAAAAACTTTTTACTTTAAAGCTTTTGTTGAAAATAGTTTTTAAAGTAAAACATTTTTATAGATGCATGAAACTATTATAATTGTTATACTTCAAATCGAACAAAGACAATCCAATTTTTAATTAACTATGAAATATTTCCTTAATATATAATAAGTTAAATTAAGTTTACTATTTGCTATTTTAAATATGTTTTAATAATGAATTAATTTATTATTATAATTGTGTAAATAAATTTTAACATTAACTGAAAATAATTTATTTGTATATGATGTATTTATTCATAGGAACGACTTTGGCAACTCTGTTCTCAATTGCAGAAATTGTACTAGATTACTGCAAGCTATTTGAATATTAAATATTTGAATACTTCAAAATTATTTTAAAAGATATTTACATTTATATTTGGATTTCAATTATGTTATTTTTAATTAATCTTTATTTATTTAATTTCTATTAAAATATATTTGATTAAAATTGTTCATTAAATGACCTTCTAACAGGTATTCTACTACATAAATTTTGGTATTCATTTTTGACATTTCACTGCCTTGTTATCGCATTTCTGCCAACGTCAAATAAAAAAAATTTGAGGCAAGTCTTTTTATAAGTTGTGTGCGTGTGTCGATGACTGCAGCGGATTGTGTTCGTGAAAAATTAGATTAAATACTGCTGAATATGGCTAAAAAAAGGAATGAAGAGTACGCAGGAGATGGCGATGATGGTGATTACAATGAAGAGCCAAATTTTGAAGATCCGGAAGGTTTTGTTGACGATATTTCCGATGAAGGTAAATGCCAGCGTAGCGCACTACCTGCCAAATGGGCACGCTAGTTGCGGCTATTGCAAATTTAAAACATAACCTCAAAAAATAGTGAAATTAATTGATTAAAAAATAAAATCATTGAAAATAGAAGTAAACTTAAAAATTAAGCAATTTTAAAACAAAATTATGTTTGTTTATTTTAGAATTGCTAGCTGATATGCTAGCGCAGCGTCCGTGCGAAACCGATGGCGTCGAAAGTGTTGTTGTTGTTGATAACATACCAAAAGTAGAACCAATACGTTTGGATAAATTGAAATCTGTTATTCAAAAATTGTTTTTGCATTGTGGAGAAATTGTGAATGTTGTTTATCCTACCGATGATGAAGGGAGAACCAAAGGCTACGCATTTATGGAATTTAAAAATGCTGGTATGGCTGAAGAAGCAGTTAGGCAGTTAAATAATCATCGCTTAGATAAAAATCATACTTTTGCTGTTAATTTGTTCACTGATTTTCAAAAGTATGTATAAAATCACTTAATTCGTATATATATATATATATATTAATAAGATTATGATTTTTAGGTATGAAAATATACCTGAGAAGTGGGAACCACCAACTCCACAACCATTCAAGACACAAGATGATCTTTACAATTTCATTAATGACGCTGATGCTTACGATCAATACTGTGTGGCTGCTGAAAATTCGCCAAGTGGTGTACAAGTTGCATTTTGGCAAAACACTTTACCTGAACCTACTGAGCTCGAAACGCGTGATCGCTTTACTGACACATTTGTCAAATGGTCACCATTGGGTACTTATGTTGTTACTTTCCATAAGCCTGGTGTAGCAATTTGGGGTGGTAGTAGCTTCCAAAAAATACAAAAGTTCCCACACCCTGGTACACAGTTTGTAGAGTTTTCACCCTGCGAAAATTACCTTGTCACCTATGGCCCAACACCAACTGGCCAAAAAGTCATTATTTGGGATATACGTACTGGTACGGAGAAACGCTCATTCGTTGCTGATGGAATGTCAGTTTTATCAATGTTTCGCTGGTCGCATGATGATAAATATGTAGCACGTTTGGGTGAAAACTCTATACACATATATGAAACCCCTTCATTCTTCTTGCTTGATTTGAAATCGATCAAAATCTCGGGCATACGTGGATTCTCCTGGTCACCAACTGATAACGTAATTGCCTATTGGGTGGAAGAACAAAATCAAATACCTGCACGTGTAACACTTTTGGAAATCCCAAAGAAACGTGAAATACGCAATAAAAATCTTTTCCACGTCGCCGATTGTAAATTGCATTGGCAAAAATCTGGTGACTATCTTTGTGTAAAAGTTGATCGTTATTCTAAATTGAAGAAAGACAAAAAGGAACTTGATGTTAAATTCCTTGGCATGTTTTACAATTTTGAAATTTTCCACATGCGTGAGAAAGAAATTCCAGTAGATTCGGTTGAAATACGTGAACTTATATTAGCATTTGCTTGGGAGCCTGTTGGTAACAAATTTGCTATTATTCACGGTGACCAAAACAACTCAAACGTTAGTTTCTATGAAGTTAATAAGGGTGTTAAACCTTCACTTGTTAAAAAGTTGGAAAAGAAATCATGCACTCATCTCTTTTGGTCACCACGCGGACAATTCATTGTAATGGCTAACTTGACCACTGGCACGTTTGAATTTGTTGATACAACCAATGACTTTATAATAACAGCATCACCCGATCACTTCCGTGCTTCAGAGGTAGAATGGGACCCTACCGGACGTTACGTTGTCACCGGTGTATCATCTTGGAAAGTTAAAGAAGATACTGGTTTCAATATGTACACTTTCCAGGGTCGTATTATCAGACGCACTATTTTGAAAAATTTCGTACAATATTTATGGCGTCCACGACCACCAACTTTGTTGTCAGAACAACAACAGAAGGACATAAAGAAGAATTTGAAGAAATACTATTCAATATTTGAACAAAAGGATCGTATGCGTTTAACACGCGCCTCTAAAGAATTGCTTGAGAAACGCGCACAATTACGCGAACAATTTATGGAATATCGCAATAAGCGTATTCAAGAATGGAAAGAACAGAAGAGCAGACGTCTGCAGCTAAGAAATCGTAAGTTTTTAAAAATAGTATTTTATACACTATATTGATAAAACTAATGTTTTAATTATTTAACAGATATTGATACTGATAATTTGGAAACTGAAGAAGTTGATGAAGAAATTGTTGAATTTTTAATTAAAGAAGAAATCACTGTACTCGAGTAGTCGACCAACGTATATGCAGTTTTTTTTTTTGTATTAGTATTATAAAGCACGTCCGAGCACGACTATATAATACTATTTAAAAATATTAATAATTACAAGCGATAACAGCATCAATCGATCTGTGCTCAAATTATATTCATTACATATATATCACAGGTCGTTTGATTAAAGCGGTTTACTATTACATGCGAGTCGCCCAATTATAATCACATTTGGGAAACAGACAATTTTACATAAAATAATACATCTTTAATCTATAAATTTTATTAATTGGCATACATAATATTTTGTGTTTTATATATTATACTATCTCTCTTACTTTTAAATATATAATATACTACATTTTAATTTATTCCTACCGTTGTATAATTTGGTGTTAGATTTATTCAATTTTTATTACTTTACGAAAAGAAATTTTTTATTACTTTACGAAAAAAAATTTTTTATTGCTTTATAAAAAGTAATTTTTTATTTTTCACATATACAAAACTAAATATAAACAATAAATTTAAAAATTATTTAATTGATTTAAATATATAGTATACACAAATCGTATAAATTATTGTAAGAATTTCATATAGTAAATGAAATGTTTACAAAAGTAGTTAATATACTTAGTTATACTAATAAATATTGTAAAATGCAGTTTTTCAACAAAATTAAATATAAATATGAAATTTATTTGTATGCCATTAGCAAAAGAAATGCTTATTATTTCTATTATTTATTTTAATACGTAATTATTTGTGTAATATATGTTTGTGTTGCTCTACCCGGATTCTGTATTATAACGCAGTGCTCTTAAAAATTTGTTCGATTGTGTTTTTACTTGCATTTTCATAGATGTATTTCGGTTATGTTTTTGCTAAAGATATTAAATTAATTATGTATTCTACAACTTTCACTTTTAAACTTCAATTTTGGTATTAGCGCTGTAGCAACAAAGTATGGTACAATTTCAGTAGGTATAGTGAGCAGTGACGAAACAACAAAATTAATATTAGCTATTTTTTGTATTCAGTTTGTCAATTGACCTAACCACCCACTACTGTCATTATTTCTATAACGTAGAAAGAACTTTTGGGTTCATTTTACATAGATAAGCCGCGCTTCAACGTATAAAAGGACAAGTAAGCCCGCGAATGTATTTCTGGCTGTTTTAGAACGATTTGGTTCATTTGAAAGAATGTCAGTTTCTGTAAGCATAGAACATTTTTAAGTAAACTCACAGGTACTGTTCTAATATATACTGTAACATCGAAGATATTTTCTTGAATAACAAAAATAACACAATTGTGAAGGGTGTTTAAAATAAACTCAAGTGTGTGTACCATATTTAGAGACGCTTACCAGGTACCTTCTCTTGTAAAATCAGCAGTATATAAGATATTTAAAATAATATCAAAGACGCATTATGAGAGACTCCAACAGGTACTTTCTCAAAGTTATTTTCTATATTATTATAAAGGGTATTTAAAATTAGCTCACGAATGTTATTCTGAGAGATAATAGCAGATACATTGTTGCAAATATTATCTTTTTCTAGAGTTAGAAAGTCACCAGTATGGAACGTTTTAAAATAAATTCTAGTAGATATTTTCTTGTTGTTGCTGTAGCCCGTAGAAATCTACCTGAAAAATTGCTTTATGTTCATTATGGCACTTGGTCGTCGAGATTGATGAATGACTTCGGAACGTACATTCGGTCGTTCTTGAAAGCTCAGTAAGTTACTAGTGTATGAAGTGTTTAAGATCGATACAAAGACAATAATAGTAGAAAATATCTTCCTACACACATATTCTTGTAGATCACCCAACAAGGTAACAATATCGATGGTATTTAAAATATAGTTAAAGATGCTATCCTGAAAGACTTGAATAGATCTTACTTGCATATATTTTTTGTAGAGTCATTATGGCACCAGTCTAAAATGTGTTTAAAATACATCTTTTTAAAGATATTTTTTAATTTATTTATGGCTTAAAATAAATGATAAACATTATTAAGTGAGAAAATTAAAATTACTACAGACTAAGAAATTTATAAAAACTAATATTAACTTAAATTATTATTATTATAATTATTAGTACTTTTGATGTTGATGATGTTCCATTTGAGGTAGTTATTAATTATATACAGGAGCATGTATTAGATGCGCTTCTGGCACGCAAAGTTCTTCTTCAATTAGCTGTTGAATACGACTCCGAAGACCCAGTTTTTTATGTGTTGGAACATTCCTCAAGAACGGCACAATGCTCATGGCAAAGTGATAGTCGTCGTTGTTTTGTTGTTCACTTTTATTTTTTAAATATTTCATTTTTTGTTTTTTACGCATCATGTGAGCTTCATGGATTGCTTCATCTTGAATAGGTGTTTTTATTTTTCGTGGATTAGGAGTGCTATTGTATTCACTTCCACTGTTACCATCTGACATATCCTCAACAATTTTTTCAGTGGTGTCTAACGAAATAAATTCGACCTCTGATTCATTAGTGTCGCTTTGTAGAGCTAAAATATTCCTTGTCGATGGACGAGATTCAAACTGTTCCCGCAAAAAGGACAACCTACTGAAGTATCGCCATTTAGAAGAATGCTGGCGGGTTGCTCCTCCGCTGCGTTTTTGAGCACATTTCGATAATTCTTTCCGATATGTATCTCTTAACCCCCTCCATTTTTGGCGTACTTTATCATCTAAAAAATATATACAAATTTTATTTAAAAAATTTTTTTTTTGGAAAACGCATTGTTAAATTGTTCAAATAAACAATTAAATTGTAATTTAATTTTTAAAATATATGACTTTATTTTTAAGCACATTGCTACTGGTGCAGCTTTTGGATCAATGAGTTTTGCCTTTCGTATGTCTCACATGACCATATATGAAACGTGCAAACCTATTTGGGACACATATTGTAAAATACATATGCCATTTCCAGTAGTGGAAACGTTATTGGGTGTAGCAGATACATTTTATAGCAAATGAGATATTCCACTAGGACTAAATGTCCTGCAAATTCCTTATCAAATTTTTTTAATTATGGAAAATACTATTCAATTATAGTTAAAGAGTTATAAATTTATTATTGTTCATAACAAACAGATTTATGGTGGTATTTTCAGATCAACAGCACTATATCAACACCTTGAAAAAGACATCTTTAATGTTCCACCATTTAAGCCTTTACCAGGCATAATTATAAATGTTCTACAAATAATAGTTGAAGATGGGGTATATCCACTAAAAAATTCTTTTATGAGACTATTTTCTGGTCTTGTATAATATTATTATAAATGTGGAGGGAATACATGAAATTCCTACAAACTTAAAACAAAATCAAATTAAATATGCAAGAGCAGTACGTCAATTCAACAGGTCTACTACGCATGATGCATAAGAAATACCCAACAAATTTGGGGAATACTGCAACAACTCCAATTTATCTTTAAAATTATATTTTATTATTATTATTTTTTTTTAATATACTATTATTTTTTATAGCAAATTTTCATTTCAAGTAATAATATTGCCCTTTGTTAATTAATTAAAATTGTTCAATTTTTTAATTTATATTTAAGAATGAATTGAAAATAAAAAATAATAGGATAAAAATGCACTTACCTGTCTCATTCATATTTCTTGCAATGTCGGCCCAAATTTTTTTGACAACATTTCGGTTGTTGTACAATTTATGTTTTTGATTCCAAAGAGGCGGTTGTTCCTCAACTAAAGAAATTAGGAAATCACAATCCATTTTCTAAAAGTAACATATATTTTTATTAATATTTCCATTTATAAAATTATATTTGCATCAAAACAATAAATACCTCTCAATTTGACTTCTTCCGCTTTCGACTTCGCACGAACGAATGAATTCCAAACAAAATATTTTGTTTAATCAAATAAAATCGTGTTCGCATGAAAGAGACAACACGTCGTGCGAATAGTTCTCAGCGACTGTAACCACTCGCACATGAGTACGCACATTTGATTTGTTCATACGAATATGCAAAACAAAATTCGTTTGCAATGTTAACGCAGGTCAAGCGAAAACATAGAAATATGAAGGCATGTAATAAAAATCATAGAAATATGCATTTAAGGTGAAGTAGTAGATTGTAGTATAAAATAATTATTAACATAGCTAATTGTAGCAGATTTTCTCAGAATTTGTGAATTTATACATTGTAACAATATAGACATACTTCTATAAAGAAAAATGAAGCATAATAATACATTACTATTTATAATATTGCTTAAAAAGTATTGTGTTATTAACTATACACATAATTCTCGAGACTTCTTAGTTTGTAATGTCTCCTTTCATATTTGGGTTTTTCCTGTTTAAGAAATATTATCTATATCAGGGCTGTCCAAACTAGATAAGATCGCGGGCCAATTCAAATCACTGAATAGGTTAGAGGGCCGCAGAAATAAATACGTACGTTCATAATTTTGTCGGAGAAAAATAAAAATACGGCAATAATAATGTTAAATATAGTTTTATTAATTCTTCATTAATTTATCTTTTACAATTCTATCAACATCAACATAATTAATATTAGTTTTTGCTATACAAAAATTATCTAATTTTTAATGTTAAGATATGCACTGGATATGACTTTTTTGAACTCTTTGTTAATTAAGTAAACGACTCTACTATCCAAAGCCTACAAGTTGCTCAAAGTCAGGCTCTCCGAATGCTCTTCAAAGTGCCATGGTACATCCGCACGAATGACATGCTAAGAGAGTGATTCTGCAGAAATCCCCAGCCATCATAGAATAAAAGTGCCCATATGCACTAAGAAAAATTTGCCTAATTGTGGTAGATTAGAAAAATGTAGCGGGCCGCACAAATATTAGCTGCGGACCGTATGAGACCAGCGGGCCGTGCTTGGACAGCCCTGATCTATACAATGCACTATATTTATAACACATTACATATAATGCATATAATATAATATAAATTAATACAATGTATATTTTTATATATAAATATATTTTTTTGTTGTATTTATTATTAATTAAACAATCTAAAACTCATTGAACATAGCTCTACATTTTTTGGTTACCTGCGTTCATATATTGGTTTTTCCTGTTTAAGGAATATTATATGTACTATAAACTACAATTATAACATATTCAATATAATACCAACAATAATTTTACTAATACACCAATTAATTTTATAATTAATTATAAAAATTTTATTTATTTTGTTATATTTATTATTTGTAAAACCTAAAATTCATTGAACCTAGAATTCACTGAAATGTTAACATATTGGTCTTTTCAGTTAAAGAAAATTATCTATGCTATATTTATAACATATTCAATATATAGTGGTATAATTAAATATTATATCAATATATAATTAAACAAAAAATTAAATTTTGAATTTGTTTCTCGACCTGTTTTTTTTAATAATATTTTTTTATCTATTTTATAACCGGCTAAGGGTTCTTTTTAATTAATAAAAATTAAACATTTGATTCATATTTTTTTTTAACATATTATATATAACGACTCAATTTGAGTGTCATCATCAGGATTTTAAATTAATAAACATAAATTCATTTTAATTAAATCTGTATCCATGCGTTATGTTTTTGGTTCCGTTGTCCATATTGCACTGTACAATATGGAAAAAAAGGAGACCTGTAGCCGGATGTAATATATGTATATAAAAAACATTAATTAAAAAGTATTTAAAAAAAAACATTTTTTTTGTTGTATTTATTATTTTTTAAACACCCTAAAATTCAATCAACATAGCCATCTATTTATTTTGGTTACCTGGGTAACGTCGGTAATGCCAAACATACATGTATTGTTATTTCATTTTATAATAATAAAAATCTTTCAATATTGCTAAAATTATTGCTATTAATAAAAATGAGTGATATAAATAGTTCCAAACGAAAAAAGAAACCGAGGAGCAGTAAATCCAAATCGAGTGGCTCCAAATCAACTGGAGGAACAAGAAGTAGAGACAGAACTATTAAATCGCGTCCATCTACTGAATATCGACAGAATGAAGAAGATGTGCAATATATGTTGGGAAATACAAGCTTTCATCTTGACTTCAGTTCCCAATCAGATAGTACAACACGTAGTATGGACTTCTTTTGTGGCACTACGTACACAGCTGAAACAACTGCAGCTCAACATACATTGGATAAAACCTTTAGTGTTAAGTCAACAGAACAGGACGAGTTAACTGATGAGACAACCGAAACATTTGCTGAAAGTGAAAAAGTATCTTATGACAATGAATTACTTAAGATTGAAAAATTTACCTCATCTCAATCCTCGCCAATAAATAATCAACAGACAGTCTCCACATTTATACAGATCGATGCAAAGGATGAGAAAATAACCTGCACGCTGATATCTACAAAATATTATCGCAATGCAGATTTGTTTTACAAGCCCAGTGCTCTTCTCAATATGAATATCACATTAACCAATGATATTGATGTGAGAAAACTAACTCCACAGACCAGGCGTTTACTGAATCGATACTTTGAGGAAGCTAAGGCTGTGGATAAAAAAATCTCAAATGAAATTGTTATGAAATTAAGTAAAACACCAAAAAATAATGAACGAATTTTCATCAAAGACGCTAACCAACTATATCGTACACTTTGTGAGCATAAATTTAAACCTGTATTTTGCGTTCCTACTCTACAGGTGTTGGAGATACCCACACGTAAATTTATAAAAATACACATACGAGATATACGTTTTACTGCACATCCACAAATATACGAAGAACATCGCATAGCAAATCATCTGGAAGATTTATACAAACAATATGTACGTCTTCTCAATGAAAACTTGTGTGAGAAGTTAGAGTCTGAACTCAATATTGAACGGAAAATAGTAAATAATTTGTTAAAGCGGGAGTCTTCGGTGTCAGCTTCAAAACAAAGATCACCCTATACTCAGACCAAACCGGTACATAGTTTGGAGCAACGTTTACGATACATTAAAGAACTGCGTGAGAGGCTTTTTGAAGCGGAAGCTGAAAGAAAAGATTTAGTCAAAGAGATCTTAAATGTTTGGCTTAATTTGAAAAATACACGCAAGGAACAGGAATATCAGTACACACGTTTAAGATTGCGTTTAAGAGTAGAAAAGCCTAGTGATATTGCTGCGGAAATTGACAAATGGAACAAACGTTTTGAGACTGATCTGAGTGAAGTTTACCGTGAGCAACTGGAAAAATTTTATTGTGCTAAACGTTTATATAAAAAAAATGATTATGATCAATCAAATCAAAAGCCACCACGCAAGCCAAATATTGATAAAGTTACGATGGAATTAAGAAAGATATATGCAAAAAGTTTTAATGGACCTGAAGAACCTAAAATCACTATTTTACAAAGTTTTCTTAGCGATGAGGAATTCTACGAAATTTCTCCACAACATACTAAACTGAAAAGTTATTCTATTAAAATATTTTTTGATGAGGAATTTGTTGGGGAAACTCGAACTTATCGTCTAGAACCAGATCTTAACTTGCAGATTAATGAAGCAATTGGAATTTTAGTCGAACGACGTTTACCAAAAGATATTAAAATTTCTGTAAGTAAATAAATATAATATTAATAACAATTCATTCAATCTAATTTAAAAAATAATAATATAATGAAAGCTCTATTAGACAAATACTCTCATAAACCGATAATACTATGCAATATTGCTAGTTTCCTAGTATCAAAGGAAACTAATACTTTTTTTATATAAAGTACGTTTTTTGTAATACCCAGTTCTTTTATCTAGATCCAACTGCTCATCCAATCGGTATACGCTTGAGATAGATTGCTTGATCCCTTATTCAGATTCATCTGCAAATCTAATCAGTATCCACTTGAGATAGCTTGCTCAGTTCTCTTATCTAGATCGAACTGGTGATCCAACTTGCACTGTAATATCTATGTATTACGTATATTTTCTAAAATTTTCACAGAATTTTAGAGTTTCTTATTTAATTAAGCTACAAATATAAATTCAAGAAATCCTTAATTGCCCAATCCACTCTCAATTCCGTTTTTTGACTTTTATTTTAGCCTCTAATACTTTCGCCTTTCTCGACAATTCTTTGTTCGAAATTCGCCTTGGCTACCATATTTTGAATATGCGTCTTAGACACTTATTGACAAAGACTTAAATGCGCGACTGAATAGACTTAGTCTATTCCAAGTCTTGCAGCCGCACAGCAAAAAAGATTTTACGTTTGAGTTGAAAATAATGCTCTGAACTGGCTAATATTCCGAATATCATTTAGTTGACCAAAGCTAGAATTAGCGATCCGGCGCTTATTTCCAACCCAGCTTTATGGACATTTATATACAAATTGTTTACGTTGTGTTGGAGATCTCTGACTCTGTGGCTTAGCAAACACACATAGTTTGCATATTCGAGGTCTTCAAGGTGGAAGAACGATGTTTATTAAAGCCCATGGTGGCCATCCAACAAAACTATTGAAAATCTCTGTTTATATTATCAAATACTTTCTTGAAGTCGTAAAATGCAGCATGAACGGAAGACCTAACTTCATTGCACTGCTCAAATACTATCCGTACAGTGTTGATCAACTCTACGCAGGAGCGATTGTGTCTAAAACCACATTAATTTTCGCGAAGCGAGATTTCGACTACTCAAGATATTCCGGAGGAGGAGGATCGAAGTGAGAATCTTGCTTGGTACAAGTAAAAGAGTTATACCACTGTAATTATGACAATCTGATTTATCACCTTTTGTAAAAATTTTGAATAAAATAACTTCGTTCCATGTTGTTGGCAACATTTCTATTGCCCAGTTTTTGTGTACCCCATATGGACGCGAAAAGTTCTAGATGTCATTTCCTGGCGCTTTGCCGTTCTTAAGTGATTTTATAGTATTGATAATTTTTGCTCTGATCGGAGGTTATATTCTTCTTGTTACTTCTTGTTATGTATTCAAATGCAGAGTCCTTCTACTTATCGTCTTTGTCGTCTTTGCAAATTACCGTCATTGTCTTTTATTGGTATATCGGAAAAAGATTTTCTTTTTACGAGATCACGTGTAACTTCGTACAACTGTTTTATATTTCTAAGGTTTGCTGCCGTTTTTGCAATTCGGACTTGTTTTTCCATCCATCTCTTTTATAGCGTCTCGTTGAGTTTTTAAATGACCTACAAAGTTGTTTGTTCGAATGCTTGTGATGTAAGATTTGCTTTAACAGGAGCCTCAGTGTTTAACAGGGCCTTTTTTAATTTTATTTTCTCTTCGATTAACAACCAGAATCTCTCAAGCATCCACACCTTCTTGGTCCTCATTTTGTAACCAAAGGTATTAAGACTTACTTCTTGGTACATTTGAGAAACACAATTTGCATGGTTACTGATGTCTTGGTTTTGTACAATGGTTTCGAATACGCTTTTTAGAGCATGTAAATAACTTCTCTTCATATCTAGAGAGTTAAGCTTTTCCATGACTATTTTGTGGTTGACAGATTTGCCCCTTTTTTTGCATGTGGCGATTTTGATTCGAATTAAACGGAAATCAAAACCAATTTTTGTTCCTCTCCTCGTTCGAACGTTTAAGAATGAAGTCCTCCACCGAGGTTTATTTGGTTTAGTTTCTGGTATTCATATCCTTGGAGACTCAGATAGCTTAGTGCGATTTTTTATGTGTAAATAAAGTGCATTCTATAAGTTTGACTTACTGCACAGTTCTATGAGTCTAGAACCATTGTCCTTCTGAACTCCGAGTCCATGTTGGCTCTATACTTTTCAATGTTCGTGTTTTCGGTACCAATTTTAACATTGAAGACCCCCAGCAGAATAAAAATATTGTCATTTCTTACATAGAAGTGAATACAATTTCTTAATTGCTAATAAAATTCGTTTTTATTTTTGTTTTCTTGTGCTTTTTTAGTTTTTTATTTAATAATATGATATAAAATATAATAAAACAAACATTACACATATACTCGTATAACTTTCTGCATAAAATACTAAACAGACAAAATCGTTGTAACAACAACAAATTCTATTATACCTACATAAATTTGTGTTTACTCGTGTGATGCACATTAATTTGCATTTTGCGTTCCTCCTTTAACTTTTGCTCACGAAGTCTTCGAATAATTTCACTACGAATAATAATCGCAAATCCGTATATCCGGATTTATAAAAACTCGATTTTTTTTTAACTCCGGAGACTTCGTTGTTATCCGATTAATCGAATAACTTCGGTTTTTAAGATATCCGAATAATATGAACAACACTAGTCGCTACACAGTTGCGTTTGTTTATCACAAACGAATGCAACTGTAAATAGAAAACAGCTGATGGAAGAGCCCTTGCGTGTATATGCACAAAATTAATTCAACAATGGAAAAAGTAAGACTTAAATACATTTTTACAAGTTTTGCCATTTTATATATCATTTAATGTATATCAGAACACTAAACAAAAATGCAAGAGAAGGAGGGTGAATCCAACACATCGATGGACAGATTTGGAGACAGTTCAATTAATTGGAGCAGTGGCCGATGCAACTAAAAACCGGCAGGAGTCTTTTGAGGTACATACACTAATGTTTTAAGTACATCAGTTGCGGATTACCAAACAAAAGTATACACTATGTATGTCTGGCTTGTACATACATACATATGTACTCGTTGTATGCATGTTTATTCTTGGCAAAACGCTTATTTGTCTATTATTTCAGAAACCGACCGCGGAACGTTTCTACGAAAAAATTAAATCAAAAGCACCCACGCTACAAAAAATCGAATGGATGTCTTTAAAATGTAAAATGAGATACCTTAAGGCTGCGTATGTTTCTGCCGTAGACTGGAAGGACAAGACTAGTTCTGGGTTAGTGAGCAGTGGCGACGAGACAAGCGTGTCAACGCATGTACAACGTTTGTGTCCAAATTTTGATTTACTTGCTAATATATTTGGGCAGCGTAAAAATGTAAGCCAACCGTTTGTTTACGATAGCCAAACTGATGCTGAACTATTAACCGATCCCTGTGACTCAGTTTCAAATGAACTGCTTATTAAAGTGGAGGAAGATTCCCTCCTTGAACCTTTACCCAGAACCAATGCCAGCACTCCTTTAAGTTCAACAAACAATTTAGATTTAATTCAAAGAATCAACAAAGAAAAAAATATTAATAATTCATATCCATTTGATAAACTTGTGCTTATTCAGGAAAAGAAACTTGACTTGGAAGTTAAAAAGCTAGAATTTGAAAAAGAAAAAGAACAGAATCAAATTGAAATAAAAAAACTTGAACTAAAAAATGCATTTGATATAAGAAAGCTGGAGCTCCAAATGCAAAAGGAGGAGCGATTGGAAATAGAGAAATTAAAATTAGAAAGCGAAGAAAAAATGAAGAAGTATGAAATTGATTCAAGACGCAAATAAAACTAAAATAAGTAAAATGTAACTTGTTTGAATTTTTTGTTTACATATAATTATTACAGAATGTACCTAAAGCGTTTGTAAAATATTTGATAGAGCACGTCGTTTAGTTTGACCCTCGTTCGTATATAAATTTTGGTATTCAGGTTCATTTTCACCGTCGTCATTGTTATTCCTATCATCTATCATCTTTTAGCTTTATTAAAATATTGTGATTGTGTAAAATCGTACATACTCATATCCAACTACAAGCAAAACTCACCGAAGAATGACCTCTTATCGGAGTTTTTAACTCTTACAAACTTCTTTTAGCAAACCAAAACAATGTTCAATCCTTATACGATATTGGCTAAACCTTTAAATGAAAAAATTGCGCTCCTGAACATTGCATTTTGTGGAGGTAGCTCTGAAGGAGGTTACAACAGTGTTAGTTAATTTATAAGCATTGTCACTTGCCAATTCCGCTCCTGTTAACATATGTAAAGCTTCCGTGGTCAAACTGCAGTTATTGTAGATGCTGGCATCATGGCCGCTGCGTGGATATGCGAACAATAAATGACAAATGCCTAACCTGTGGTCACAAGAGTATATATGATTTCCAGAAAAATAAGTTTCCCAAACATCATCTTCTTTCTTCCTTTGATTTTCCGCAGACAACACAGAAACTTAAACCAAAAGTACAAATGTCACCGTTATTCTCACCAAAACTCTCCAATTTTCATTCAATTTTGGTATTTTATTTATAATTTATTGATAGCGCCACAAAATATTCGATAAAATTTACGCAAATATAGTATTTAATATTGCAACGATATAGGCTAAACGCTAAATTTGATAGATTTATATGCTCATACTAGATTCACACGAAAGTTTTGTTTGTAATTTAGGCTGTCAATTGTTGTAGCTTTCAATGCAAAATAAAAATTTTTGACAGCTAAAATTATATACAAAACTCTTGTGAGAATCCAGTACTAGATGAGTAGTCTTATTATATTTATTAATTAAAAATATTTTAAATATTTGTTACTTTTTTAACATTATAGCTGTATGAAAAGACAAGACTTGCACCTTCAAAAAAGTTGGCAAGTGTGACCAATAGTTTTTTGACTTTCTTCACAAAATCAAAGCAAAAAGAAACGAGTACACAGTATTTCGAATTTTCCTCTCTCAAACAGCCAATAGCAGGACGTATAAGTTTAAATTTTCAATGTGATGAAGAACAGCATAGTCAAGACCTAATAATTCCATTAAAATATAATGCAGAAGTAAGAAAAGATCTCACTAAGGTATGCAGCGACAAGGAATGCAGTGAAAGCGACGAAGGTAATGAAAAGGAACAGGAATCAGAACAGAAAAATAACGTAACAACCTGTACATTTGAAGAAACAATATTACAGTTCTGTTCTATCGATGAAATCGAAAACAATCCACGTTTTCGCCTCCTACATTCGAGATATCTTAAAAATGATTCCCGCACTAAAGACTTACATTTAGTGCCTTCATTAGATAATGAGTTAGAGTTCGATTGGGAGGCACAGAATGAGAATGTTATTGAGCATGGAAATTGGATGGATGCAATTGATTTATTTAAGCACAGAGGTAAAAAATATTTAAGAAATCTTTACACAGCAATAGATAATCAGTGCTCGCGTTTAACCAAACTTATGGAAAATGCTGAAAATCCACTTATAGGCGATGAACCAGCTACATGGAGGTGAGTTTTGTTAAATACGCATTTCAAGTGTAAATTTTTATTCTAATAATTTTCGTTTAATTGAAATATTCTCTTTTTTCTGCTAGTGGTTTCTTTCGTGCTATATCATTAATATTTAATCCCAAACGTCCGCTGAATCCGATTAGAACAGATGTGCCAATTAGTACTACAGTACCATTGACTGCGGATGCAAGTCAAAATTTTAAAATAATTTTAAATGTGGTGCGCGCTACAGGTATTCCAATCCGTAGTGATTTACTGTATAACCTTGATAGTCGCGAATTGAGTACTAATAGTAGCACACATCTATTTGTCACACAGAGTAACTAACGCGATCTATGATTAAATATTTTTATTTTAACTTTCAATATAATTCTCTTATAGATCTAAAATATTCCAATGTCAGACCTTTCATAACTTTAAGTTACAAAGATAAATTCTGTCGCTCTCTCACGGCTGAAGGTTCTAATCCCACATGGAATGAGCAATTAATTCTGCAAGCAAGGTACATAGCTGTATATATTGTATATATGATTTGATATTGATTAAATACAATTTTATAAATAGTGGCAATTTAAGCGATCAGCGAGATGATATTAAAATATCACTTTTTGATGAATTAATTGAGCAACACACTAACGATGATCCGCTCTCAGTAAGACATATGGACATGTATCAAAGAATACAAACGAATTGGTTGGGTGAATACAGAATACCAATACATGCACTTCTGACGAATAAAAAGGTAAGTTAGACACCTTTCTGATCTTCTTCATTACTGCTGTCTTCTATTTTTGTTTAGTAATTCTGTTAGCTATATTGTATATAACTATGTACGTATTGTTTTTGTTGTAATCATATTTGAATTTATACAAGTTTTTGAGATATCTAGAAAACTAAAAATTGAAGTAAGAAATGCAATATAAATTTAAGAGAGTGGAACAAAGAAATTTAGGACTAATGGCTAGGGCGTAAAATAGTGTTATATTATGATGATCGATTAAATAAGTTGCAGGCGTATCTAATCTATTCTGAACACAAATTCAGGTATCTTGACAGCGTGAGAGAGCAATTGACGGCATCTTAGAATGGGTTCAGAATCACTAGACTGAGTTCGATATAAAAGAGCATTGACACATAAAAGCTCTTTCACATGCATAAATGAACTTATTCCAATGGAAACGCCAATATCTTAATTAGATTAACATAAGTTGTTTTAGCTGAATTGAGTGATATAATAAGACGTCATTTGTACAAAATTTCGAATGGTTTTAGCTAAAACCTCTTAAGTTTTTATTGAAATCACTACTAATGATCTTACAAAAAAGTAAATATTGAAAAGTTAATTCATATCACATGACAACAAATGATGTTCTCCAATAAAATCTCTAATTGATCATTTCAGTTTGAGGGCGGTTGTGAGCTAAATACACCAAAAATTTTACTAGGTTATAAACGTCCTAGTTTGGAAAATATTACAACTTTAAATGATACGAGTTTAACAATAGATCAATATCCAGAAATCAAAGAGAATATACGATTGTGGTTTTATATAAGCATTGAACCAGTATTTCATTTACCACAAATAAGAACCTTCTGCTTAGAATGTGTAGAGTTAGTGGAAGTCCGCCAATTTCTCCATGAATGTGGTTTACAAATGAAAGAATTACAGCTACCCCGTTTTATAGAACCGCTCATTTGTAGTGCGGATGGTAAACTTATGTGCATTACTAGACTATTGGAACCAATACCGCTACCAGTTACGGAAAGTCAAAATTTATTAGAAAGTATCTGTCGTTTTGTATCCCTATTAAGTACATTGAAATGTAATGATGCTTATATGAGTTTTAAAGGTGTATGGTTAAGTAATCAGGTAAGTCATATATATCAAATACAAACCTAAAATAAAACATTATTATGTTTACAGTTATTATTAGACTCCACATGGGGCTCAACAAAAGATTTGGGAGTGTTATTGTGCAACTATTTCTTGACTATTGGCATTAAATGTTGGCTAGTGTTAGGATTAGCGAATCCATATGGTGAAAGTACTTTTGTGCTATATAGACTAGATGAAGGTGATTTAATGCTAGCAGATCCTTGCACTGGTAAACGTTATTACGTGAAAGATGTCTTTTGTCCTTTATACAAGATTAATTTCGTGATTAATCAGAAAAATGTAAGTTAGGAAGTTAATAATTCTTTAGCAAATTATAATAACTTAAATTATCTGTTATTATTTAAGATCTATTTTAATATACAGTCAGAAACTCGAGTTTCTATGACAAACTTTAATTTCAACGATTCGTCCTGTTGGTTTACACTATTCAACAAGAAGAATCCCGCACCATTAGGTGGAGTTCAACAACTTAATTATAAATATATTGATACATTCAATACAGTAGAATTACGAAAAAATATAGAACGCAAAATTATCAAAAAAATAAACTCTTGGAGGACAGTGCATAAAACTATTTGGAATAGGTAACGCAGAGTTGTAGATACATATGCATGATAAATAAATATTCGGTCTCTTTCTAGAGGATTCCAGAACCGTTTATATGCAATACTTCAACAATTGGAACAAGAGGTTACATTTGGTAATAATTCATATAACGATTCACACCAGACTGAACATTTATTTTCGGACATTCCCAATCACAGAGTAAGTTTTTCTCAGAAAAAGGGTAACAGGCTTTTACGTAGTAAATACGTACTAAAGAAATAAAATATTTGATAGAACCATTATTGCAGTGAAGAGTCTTTACTATAATACCATCCTACTATTTTTATATACCATATATACAGAATAATATAGTTTGTACTTAACATATATTGTAATCCAGCACTCCATATTAAATTCGTTTATTATTATTATTTTAATGCGAATTGTTCGTATTAATATTTATACTAATATAATTTTATTCTTATTTTTCTTTTCTTAGATATATGGATTCACTCTTAACTTTTCATACACAAATCTGGCATCAATCTCAGATCGTATCAAATCAACTTGTATTCATTTAAATACAGATAGAGATGTAGAATTTTCTTTAGCAGTACACATTCATGCCTATTCGAACAACGTCCTGTCGATATGGGTTTTTTTAATATCTATAACACCTCTATCATAATGTAATATGGGAAAAACTAAAAAATATACGAATGAGACATATCACAACACAAACATAATCACAATGAAGCGATAAAGAACTGACTTAGACCAATTTAAATAAGGTAAGCAATTAATCTAGCCTATATCTCTACGACATAAAAAAATGCACTTCTTCTTTTTCTGATAATAATATCCGTATATATAATTTACGCTGCTTTAAATATCGGATTAGAGAATTAATTTAATTAGTTTCTGCCATATTTGTATTTGAAACACTTATATATATCTCATATATCTGGGCGTTTGACAAACATGGTGTGAGCTGTTAAATACACTAAAAAACATATTGTTCACTATTTACTGTATAATTTGTTTTATGTAAGGCAGGAAGGATATTTGCTGATTGCATTGCAACCTCTCAATCTTATTTCCCCCTTGCCACAATTTTGGCTATGGGAGTGTCTTCACCACAACGAAACTATATACCATTTGTGTTAGTGTTTGCCTAGTATTGTTCTTAGTGGACTTTACTTTTTATAGTATAAGTATTTTTATTTTGTCTTTATGATTTTAATATCACCTAAAAATTTTCTAGTTTTGGGAAAATTTCTTCTAGTTTTAACATAGATTTGTTTATAAGAATCATATAGTATCGATGAATCAGTCATTGAATTATTTATTTTGGATATTTTTCCTAGTAATGATTACTGCTTCTCTGATGTCATTTTTGAGTGCGATATTAAGTTATTTGTATGAAAATCGATCATCATAACAACGTGAAGAGCCAGATTTATGAATCCTAATACCGAGTATTCATATCAACAAGATAATTTCGACAAAAAACAGACGCTTCTGGACGCTAAAACCGGGCATTCACAGAGAAAATGTATTATTGTTTCTTTCTCCTGCGGGTTTCCACAACTTCTGCAATGAGGGTTATGGGGAATACGCAGTTTTTCTGCTTGAGTTCCTACACACCAATGACTAGTAAGAACTGCAGTAAGCCTTGTAGTGTTCACGCGATCTCTTTTAATGAGTTCCGAGGATTTATTTTTGTTATAGGTGGGCCATATTAACCTGAAAGTTGACCATTACCTAAGTGCTTTCCATCTGTTATTGGCAAGTTGCAGAAAGTACAGGAAGGTACTTCTTTTAATGGTCTCCAGGCTAATATAAACTGGTATCACCAGTGCCGCATCTAGGGAGGCACTAGAGCGGGCTAAACTGTCAGCTTTCTCGTTCCCCACGATGTTTCTATGTCCAGGAACCCAGATGAGGGTGATATCGGCCAACAGATTTAGCTTGTCGATTGATTTGTATGTAATAAGAAACTTTATTTTTTACCCCCAATAATATTTTCATGGTACGATAATGTTTTTAGTTTTACTCAGATTCTTGATTTATGATTGAGTGACATTTTTTATACCCAAAACTTAATTATTTTATTACCATTGCAGTTTCTGGTGATAATCTACTGGTTAGCTCGCCAATAAATTCATACCATTTCACAAGTCATAACCTAAAATCATTTTTTTTTTACTATTATTATTACTAATAAGTTATATCATTTTGGCAGCTAAACTGATAAAGAAATCGTATCGTCCGATAGACGTTCAATTTTTGCGCTTCCACAAATAGTCCACAGTCGGAACCGAAATGTTTACGTAGAAACAAGTGCTGTTTGTTGTGAAAAGATATAATTGCGAATATTATTTTATTAAGTTCAATAATATTTTTTAAAGACTATTTAAAGCAGTACGAATCTTTAAAAAATGAGATATCAAATAATTGGAGAAATTAAAAACAAAACTGAAAAAGTTATACGCTACATAAAATGGCTCTACATGCTTTACGAATTGAATACACATCTCTCCATTTGTGAACCTTGGGAAAAAGTTTTTATTAGTAAGTCCATGATTAATTTTTCTCAAACCACATTCCTATATTGAAACAATCAAGTTCAATATTTTATTTTATTTTATATCAAAATATTATAAAAAACTTTATGGACATGTTTTTAGGATCATTCCATTATTGGAATCTTTCCAAAAATTATAGAGTATACATAATCTTCAAGTTATTGTGAAAATTACTTAACGATCTATAGTAATCAGTTAAGATAAAAAAATAAGAATCGATCTAAAGTAAACAGTTGAGATAAAAACATAAGAATAAAGAGTGCTGATCGAAAATTAAAAAAATTTATTTGTAAGATCAAGTAGCAATGATAATCCAATCCAAAAGAATATTCTAGATGTCTTAAGAGATGGCTAAAAAACAGAAATTAAATGAGTTTTACTGGGTGCAACTATGGACTGTAAATCGAGGTCATCAATCATATAGGAACCGATTTTAATTTGGTAATAGTCCACTTTAGATAATGTGTATTCCAGTTAAGAACGCAAAATGCGTATTCTTTTGACCATTTTTAAGAAGATGTTAACGATTAAAAAGAAGATTTTGGAGCATATCTACAATTTTCTTATGAATGACAGATATCTTGGCTGTCTAATAGAGAACTTTATTCTTATAAGTATTTTTTTATAGTTATTATGAGGAAAATTGTTGGATTTTAAGGTTGTGATTTGAATTCTCCCAGAATTTATCTTTTCTATTGTTAAACTATTACTTATTTTGAGAGTTGGGCTATACAGTTTAATATTAGTTTTTATATTACAAAATAACATTATTCAAGTTAATATACTCAATTTATATATTAAAGAATGTTTGTGATTTATCATTTGTCTTAGATTCAATTTAGAGTACACACGAGCTGCTCGTACATCACTTTCAGGATATTATTAATTGTTTACTCTTTAATGCATTATATATTACTCAAAACTGGTGATAGACTTCTAAGAATTGTTGTTGATATATTTTCCAACATTTAAGATTCCTTTAGGTACAAGTAATATTTTATAATATGTTATAACAATTGTTAAAGTCTTCGAGGAAAATGTGAAGAACGATGTCTTAATTACCCAAAATTTTCTGCTAGATATTCACTTTTCAAACTGCATTGGATAAATTGCTCTCGAAGTCATTAGTCGATGTCGAACTCAAAAAAGCAATCCAACGAGTTCAACAACAAAAATCCTGTCAGAACGTATGCGCTGGGCTTTAAACTTGGATTATTCAATTGTTTCTTAATTGGACTATTCCGCCTGTTAACTACTAGTTAACTAGTAAATAACAACTGTAGATTCTATGATAGATAGTATGAACTATCTGACCATCCTTTATGCTTATGTTCTTTAAAAAAAACGAACTTAGTACCACCATCGGTCTTTCATTGAACGAAGGGAAATTTGGAGCCTCGAACGCAAGGATATTATTAGATTTATTAATAGTCTTAATTTGTCCAATATAACTTACAAGAATTTAATCGATGTAAGTACCAATGCAATTTCCGTGGTACTACTATGGACTATCATTTGAGCTCAAGTGGGCTTTTTGGAAACAAGGTCGCCACTCCAACTTACCTACCTACCTATTTAGGTAAGGGAATAGTTTATAACCATACTGTAGGTGTTATTTACTATTTGAGTTCAATAATTTTTATAAATATTTTAATTTAACATATAATATAATAAATAATAATAATAATAAAATAAATATAATAAATATACTGATGTGCTGAATTGAAAACAAATATTTGTCATTGGAGAAAAATCTCTAAGATATGAAGATTTAGGCTTATATATCGATCATGGTGTAGTATTTTGGCTCTTCTAATAATACTAATATTGTGGAAGTTATTTTTAATGGCAAATCAGTATTAAAAAATAATATATATTTAATTATTTTTGTTTATTGACTGAAATGAATTTAAATTAAACTGTGAGTTAATTATTACTTAAGTCATCGAAGCGTCTTCAAGATATAGTGACAAGCTCGAGAGCCTATCAATCTAAATATTGTATGTAATTGTCATTAATGATATGTTTAGACTTAAAATTATTTTTAGATATTAAGTTTATGAGTTTCTTTACATTTTTTTATATTAATTAATTGAAAAAGGCTTTAGTGAACAAAAAATATTTTTAATGAATTTTATTCATGGATTGGTCTAAGTCATGCACTCGAATAAAAATGTGTGATCTCATTGAAGTAGTCCTTTTTTTATTTTATTTTGGGTGTGAGACGGACATTATCCTCGGGTTGTCTTGAATACAATGTCATCAAAGGCAAATTGTGCAATTGGGTAGTTCTGAACAGTCCTACATTTTTTTACATCAATTTGAACCAATTCAATTCTTGATATCGAAATATTGTAATGAGACACTTAGATAGATATATAGATATATATACATAGAGCCAAATAAAATGATAAATAGTCGAATCCTATTATTGTTTATATTCGTAACATGAATGTTATAGTTATAATTGTGCTGTTTCGAAAACAATAAATATATCACATAAAATCTAAAGTTCTTATCATATGACTCATAATTACATAAAATATACTCTGTGTATATTGTAAATTAAAAAAAAAATCGCTGATGTTCAAATCATATATCAGTTAACATGATAAAACAAATTTTTTCGGTAATTCTACCCTTGGCGAATTTAATATTTTCTTTTAGATATCTATGGAAATGTACACATTGATTAAAATTTATTTAGTTTAAATAATCAAAATTTATCAATTGTCATTTATAGATAATATACTAAAAAAAATTTATATGTTTTTTTCGAATTTCACGATAATAAAAATTATTTCCATTATTTGGAACGTCAGAAGACAATAATAAACATACAACAAGGTCTATAGTTAAACTATGTAAATACTGTCGAGTCAGGGTCAATAAAACTTTTAATATACATAATTTAAAAATCATAAAAGTCTTACGATTTTTTTTATAAACTCTCAATTGATAAAGTTTTTTTCTATTACATTTGCCGAAAAATTTATAAATATTCATGCTTACATTTATCTATCATATCGTATGATTAATTATAACTTCTCTTATCGGAAGAGTTACTGAAACGTCCTACTTAATTGCAATGCAATTTATTTCAAAATATCTAGAGAAATTGCAAACATTTCTTTAGACTTTCACCAGTTTACCGATATAATATCAATTATGTTTATAAAATTATACGAACATTGTGTGACCAGTAATTCTACTAAAAAATATAACTGAATCACATGCATTCTTTATAAACCTACAAACATACTTCTACTAAAGTATAACTAAATCACAGACATACTTTATAAACCTACATGCATACTTCTCAAGTATAAAGTACTAAAGTATAACTAAATCACATGCATTCTTTGTACACCTACAAACATACTTCTACTAAACTGTACCTAAAACACATGCGTACTTTATAAGCGTACATGCATATTTCTACTAAAGTGTAACTAAATCACATGCATACTTTATGTAGATTTAAGCGATTCGCTTAATATATATATATATATATATATAATATATACATATATATAAATATAAATACTTATATATATATATATATATATATATATATAATATAATATATATATATATATATATATTGATAAGTTCGATTTTCTTGAGCTTATTGATCATGAAAATTGATCATGGATTGTGTTATATTATGTTGGACACACATAAACATAACAACTAATAGAAAGTAATTTTAATACATTTATTTGGTTATTAATAAATTGAATATATATCTATAAATTTTAAGCTTTATCTTCATAAATATTTATTTGTTTCTTTTTTTTGTGCAAAATATAATTTTTTCAGTTTATAATACGATTTTTATTATGTGGTAGGATTTAATCAGTTAATGAAATCTATAATGCCTAGGAGTGTGAAAATACTATAACTTATTACTTGCTATCTTTTTTTATTTTATTTTTTTAATTTTTTGAGGAACAACCATTAATTACGTCACAATGTTTACTTATCTCTGAATATATGGGACCATACGAAAATTACTCAGTGAGCAATTATTTACTGGGGGATAACATCAACAATTTAGAACTTTGATTTTATTACATTTTTCGTATGACTCAGATGATTACGATTTCAATTATAATTCTTATTGAGTATATTCACTACCATAAAATTGGGCATACCCTGAATATATACAATTATTTCACTAAATCACTTTATGACTTTATCAGTTATAAACACTTTGTTTTTTTATCACTGTTTTCAATGATTTGCTACGCTTCTCTTCATACATTTGCATTTTTCTAAAAATATGAATGGATTGAGAAGAAATACCAGGCGGTTTCTAAATTTAATAAAGCGTACTATACTCTGTCAATAAACTAGAAGCCCAGAAACCTAAATTTAATATACACACCACTGCTGTAATATTCAATGCAGTATCTCTTTAATTGGTACCAACAAAACTTCTTGGAATTCCAATGGGGCGTTTATCGTTAAAATATACTGATACGTGTGTTAAGAGCGCTGTGGTGTTATGTCTTAACGGCAGGTGATCAAGTTAAGAAAATGAATCGTACCAGCACTCACGTATGGATCTGAAACTTGGAAAATATGAACTCTGTACACGACAATGGTCGTACCAGTACTCACATATTGATCTGTTTAATAAAAACAGTACTCGGATCTATCATAACATTGAAGAGATAAGCTCTAATGGAAATCGTTAACACCAAATTTTAGGAATGACGATTCCAGAGACGTTACAATTACTTATCGTACGCGATGTACCTAGAGGAATACATAATTAAAAAATTAAGCTCGGTAGACTTTAGTGGCCGAATCGTGTAGTTCATGGACGATGGCTCATGATAAGTAGTCTTTGTGTAGTTTATGGAAAACCACACCAAAACAAATCATGTCTACGCTGAAACAGAACTGGACTCTTAGAACATAGATGTGGACAATTGTATCATATCACTTTCCAATTAGGATCAGTGTAGAAATTTTGTGTGCAGTAGTTCACAACCAAATAGCAGTTGTAACACAACAGTTCATTATACGAGCTCAATGGGTTTTGGGCACAAGGCCACCACTGCAACTTAACTCACTTGTATGCATAGTTAATATTTATCAATTTAAAATTAATAAATTTTAGAAATAGAAATATTGTTCCAGAACACAGAATCCTACTAAGATATGACACAGTAGTGTTAAGAACGTAATTCATCATTGTTCAAAATACCTTCTTTAAAGCAATAGAGGAATATTTTTATTGAAAATTATGGTTTCTCATCATCATAATTGACTTTAAAAATCAAATTAAATAAGATCTAAAATGCTTGAGATAATCTATACTTTACGTTTACAATTTGTGCAATATAATATTGTAAAAATATTTAAGAAAACATTCTATAGTTGTTTTGTTACAAGTATGGTCTATATATTATTCTTTAAATATTATTCTTTAAATATAGATTATAAGATATTAAAATATTATGTCATTAATTATAGTTATTTATGTTTATTTACAGATTTGCTCTTTTTGACGGTGTTCATAATAGTTTTTTATGCAACATTTATTTTCATACCGAGCTATTGGACAACTTTTGTAAAGTACATGACGCCATATACCCGAAATCTGATTGGCATGGAGCGCGATACATTATTCATAGAAACCTAATAAAATTATAACCGATTATATATTCCTTTTTTTACATATAAATAAGTATTAAATGAACTGATTTATTTTTTTTAAATATGTGCTGCATTTTTTTTTAATTTTTGAATATGGCAACCGTAAGTACAGAAACTAATATACATATGTATGGTTTTCCCATTACAAATATGCTACATGAAATTATTTTTTAAAGAAATAAATAAAATCATTTTAATTAGTTTTGTATATTTTAACATATATATAAAAATAGTTTTCAGAATATATATATATATATATATATATTATTTAAAATTATTTAAGTTCACCACATGAATAAATAACAACTTTTTGATTTGGTGTGCCAGATTTTGTACCACAACGTTCCATCCTTCGCACCACATCTGCACCACTGATTACATGACCAAATACCACATGTTTATTATCCAACCAATCAGTTCTATTAAATATAATAATTAATATATATTGAAATTTCATTATTTATTGAAATTATATTATAGTACATACTTTGTAGTGCAAATGAAAAATTGTGAACCATTTGTATTTGGACCAGAATTTGCCATTGAAAGTGTACCGAAATTATTATGTTTCAAAGTAAAATTTTCGTCTGCAAATTTTTTTCCATAAATAGATTTTCCACCTGTACCGTTGTTATTAGTGAAATCACCACCTTGACACATCTAAAATATATTGCATATATTTTAAAAAACTAAATTTCGAATTTATAGAAAAAAGTAATTAAATAAATCTTACAAATTCTGGTATAATACGATGAAACGTACTACCCTTGTAGCCAAATCCTTGTTCATGGGTACATAATGCACGAAAGTTTTCTGCTGTTTTCGGTGCCACATCAGCACGTAGAAGCATGACTATACGTCCAGCATCACTGCCACCAATACGTATATCAAAGAAAACTTGTGGATTACGTTTCTCTGCTTTCTCAATAACAGCTGGAGCGGTTGTTTTTTTCTCTTCAGTTTTAGTGTTCTCTTGTTCTTCTTCATCGTCTTTTAATGTTGCACCAGCATGTTTTTGCAACCAATCATCATCCGCCCATACAGGCTTAAAACTACCTTCCTTAACACGTACAGGTTTAGCTAAACTTACGCGTATCGTACGTCCACATAATTCAGAATCATTCTAAACAAAATATATAATAAATTCATCAGTAAATAATTTTAATTATATGTATATATTACCATATTATCAATAGCTGCGTCAGCATCTTCAGCTAATTCATATTCAATAAAAGCGAAACCTCTATGTTTTTGGGATTCGTAATCCACTGGCATTTGTATGTCAGCAATATCACCAAAAGGTATAAAAGCATCATTCAAGAGTTTCTCTGTCACTTCATCTGCAAGCGCACCTACATATATAGTGCGTTTTTCACTAGACATAGTTTTTTTTGTAGTTTTTAATTTATTATTCTAGCAAAAATATATTTTATTTGGCAGAGTTTTATGAAAACGTAAACAAACATTGACATTTAGCGAAATTATAGTCAAACAGCCGGCATGTTGACAACTGTCAAAATATTACACACCATGTGGTGAATATTATATATCATAGAATATAACAAAATATATCCAAGTATCTATATAACATAAATTTTTTATAATATATAAATTAGTTTTATTTTTAAAATGAGCTCAATATTTTTATGTTATTATATTTACTAAGCTAATACTAATTTACTATTTAGTTTCAACTTAATATTGTTACAAAACTAGTCGTAAATATTGAAAGTAATTAAAATACCTCTCTTTATTATCAATAAATTTAACAATATTTATGAGATTATATACAAATTCATGTTGTCGTTTCAAAAATACTAAAGCATATATCTCGAATTCATTAATTTATAGTAACTGTTGATCAGGTGTCCTGATTTTAGCGTGTCAGTTGATATGTTTTTCCGTGTCCCTTCTGTTTAACAATATATTACATATGTATTTCAATTTCTATGTTCTTTCTAATATACATATATTTGTTCTAATTTATTAAAATACTTTTCTTTTTATCATTTTTTTTATATTTATAAAAACTAACAACTCTAGATCGAAAAATTAGATCGTTTATACTAAAAACAATAAAGTCTGATCGATTTAGCGATTTTTACAACGTTTGATTTTGTTGATCAAAAGAATTGGATTAAATTTTGTTTCCTTAATGAAATTTCTGCTATAGTAACGTTTTAGAAGGCCATTGATGATCAGACTACGTCACGAAAAAATGTCTATTAGTAGTAAAAATAATTCAAAGGCAGGGAGAACGATCATCAACATCAACTGATAAACAATACGTTAACAAAATCAAATATTTGATGGCCAAAAATCCTCAATTGATGAAATGAAGTCTCTCTGGTACTTTTAATATATTAATTGGTCCCGTCCAGCAGGACATTTTGAATGATGTTTTGCATCTGAAAAGAGTGAATTCTCGATTGATTTGAAAAACACTTAAAAAAAGTTATGAAAAAATTCATATTGTTTTTTGATAAATATATAATATTTGATCCAAAAAATTTCTGTCCATCACTAATATAAAACATCTTTGTTTCAATAAATTACAAATATGAAGTAAGTCCATCAACCCCACTTACGCAGGCACTGTGCGTACTATATTTTATACATATTTTCAACTATACGAGTGCATTTAAAATAACAGAAGTCCAAGTACCTGCTATTAGCAGGTTCCTTCTAATTTTTTCGCCCATCAATGTAATCATTGATTATATCCTTTCCTTATTATAAACTCCATTCATTTTTGACCCCATTAAATTTAACTCTTTTTGTTACCTTTGTTTTTTTTTTGTCAGTTAGATATAATCGTTTTTTAAAATGAAATTAAAAAACAATTGATCAAGTCCATTGTGTCCATTAACCTTCTTAATAATATAATGCACAAGCCTTCTCAATTTTTGGTATTTTATGTGGACGATATCATCTGTGTCTCTCCTGTAATTCCGTTTAACAAACGTGGTTACAACAACTTATTACTTTTAGTCAGTAATTACTACCTAGCAAGAATATCCTCCCTTCCGCCCATTTGTTTTCAATTTTGGTTTAGACATATTTGTTTATATACTAAACTTTCCGTATTCTAATGTTTACACAGAAATGTGTAATTCCTTTGAAAGTTTTTGTGTCCAAGAACTAAAATCTGGTTATTTTGCATTCCTAAAAGATGGTTTAGTGGCTTTCAAAGCTTTGAATTTACCGGAATAAAAACCAGGTAACCACCACAGACACGAAGTGCTACCTAACATCAAAAACGCGAAACAATATTTCAAAGCAATGTTGCATGGCAGTTCTGTATAAACATTTTTAATATTTAAAGAAATTTTAAATAAAAAAATTTGTATTGGTGTAAATTATTACAGTATAAAACTATTATTTATTTAAATAATAGATAATTAGTATTTAAACATAAATATTCTTTCTTTAATACGATTTATAACGCCTCTACTCCTGTGTAAGTTCTTCACATTTGACGCTTCAAATATATACTGAAGAGATGATACCTGTAAAATATAGAATAAAATTTTAAATTATAATTTATCCTTAACATTTCGTAGTAATTATATTATATATAAAAATCAGTAATAATTAACAGCATGGTTTTGTTTTGGGTTCGTCTCAGAAGAGGGAGACCCTGAATATGGTCTAACATCATATAAAAACTATATATACGCAATTCTAATATATTATTTATTTATAAATCAAAATAATTACCTTTTGAGTACAACCCACGCATATGAAGACTTCAAAAATATCAATGTTGACCCATATATATTGTTACTGAAATAGAATATATTTTATTTTCGATATTATTATAATAAATAAATTTAATAAAATAATGTATCAGCAAAATTTAACAGCATGGTTTTATATTGGGTTCATCTCAGAAGAGGGAGACCCTGAATATGGTCTAACATCATTTTACTACATTTATTTAGATAAATTCGATTCTTCAAAGAAACTTCGAGAAAAAACAACTAACATTTTAATACAAAATATATAAATACTAGTCTTAAATTGTTCGAGCAAGTCAAATATATTCGAATTCGAACACTTTATTTTTATTCCATTTTTTTATATTCGAATACGAGCATTTTATTTTCATTCTATTTTTTATATATTCGAATGCGAACATATTATTTTCATTCTATTTTTTTTTTATGTTTGAATTCCAACTTTTTTTTTTGTTTTATTTTTTTATATTCGAATTCGAACATTTTATTTTCATTCCATTTCTTTATTTAAATATCTATAATAGAAAATGTTTCAATAAAATAACTCGACGTACTCAAATATTAAAATACTCGAATCTTTAAAATAGAACGAATGATAATTAAAGTTCCAATAAATACTCTATATGGTTGATTGTTTCTGTTTCTCTGAATAAAGATTTATAAATATAACTTACATTCTAGTGTTTCATCAGAATTCCAGTTAAATGGCTTCAGTGCAAGCACCTATAAATTAAAAAAATAGGTCTTCATTAAAATAACGAATTTAGTAGACACAATATATTTAAGTTACAGAAATATCAGATGAAATATTGTTTACATGTTTTGTTCAAATGAACTATACAATTAAAGTAACATCATTATAATCAGTGATTCTAAATACTACATAGGATATACTACAAGGATATATACAAATCATATATATCGTAAATTAAAACTTTTTAAATTTTATATAAGATAAGTATTTTATATTAGTATTTAGAGTCACTGCGTGTAATATTTATTTTACCTTAAAATCAGTTATAAATCCGCTTCCCACCAATTTAGACAGTGCTTGTAATTTTAGTGTTTACATTAAAACCATGTCGCTGATATTAGCTAATAACAATGAAACACTGACCCAAACGTTCTTGTTTCTCGATCTCTTTTTAAACCACTTCAACGTGAAATGAATAAGTAGAGTTGGTCGTAGCGCAATGGAACGTTGATCTGGACGTTTTCATTCACCCACCTTGCCCTCATTTCACTTAAGCATTTCAAATATATACATCAATTACATATTACCTAAAATTATATATACTAATTAGTTTCCTCTTAAAAAAATAAAACAATATCTTTGTGTGGACATTATTTCAGAATCCTTTTGGTTTAATTTTAGTTAGAAATCAGCAAGAATTTAATTTCAGAACATAAAATCATCATACAAATTTGAATTTAGAAACAAATATTTTAAGTTAATTAATTACCTTATCATGTATTTGGCTATATCAAAGCGATATGACAATGGATTGAGAGAAATCTTCTTCTTCATCTAAAATAATTAAAAGAGACAATAGTTAAGTTCTTGTTTAACAAAATCAAATTATATATTAAAAGAAATTTGTCAGAATCCTTTTGGTTTAATTTAAGTTAAAATCAGCAAAATAAAACTTCAGTATTAACTTATCATCATTAAATAATTATAAGTAATTACATATAAATAATTTATACCCACCTAATCACATAGCTGACCATATAGAAGCCTCACACTTCAATAAAGTATATCGTGCCAATTTACCACATGGTGAACACTAAAAGTAAAAAAAAAAAGATTTTAGTTAATTAATTAAATTAACAGATTAATTAACTTATTTGATCACACACTCAGTTGGCCGTTCTTATCTATCATCAAAAAATAAGGCAAATATGAGTAAAAAAAAATCTAAACATATTTGCCATATTCAGCAGTGAACACTCATCAAAGTTAACCTATTGGCTTCCTCCATATCAGAAAATTATTCAACTCACCAATTCTAATCAAACATTTGCAGTTGCATCCATAATGTTTTACATTATTTGACCCCATACGATATTGTTTTATATACTAATTTAATTAATTTTGCTAACATTTTTTGTTTCTATCAAATATTATTTTATATTTTCTCACTTCACGTTGCCGTAACTAAACCGGCTCAAGTCAATAAACCAAATGAAAGATTCCATATATGACAATTTGACACTACCATTATGCACTAGATTGGTAGCATTTGTTTAGTAGGTGAATTTCAAAATTTGTGACAAGTGGTGAAATTGGTGTTAGGATTTACATAACGAGTTTTTACATTTTTGACATATGCACACAAGTAATTTAAGTACAAAAATATTTCTTTATTAAAAAATTATTTTTAAAATTATTTAAAATTGTGTTTTATAAACTTGAAATTGATTTATATAAAAAGAACATTAATTAAAAATTAAATATGGCTAAATCTGCAAAATCTGGGAAATCTGGGAAATCTGGAAAATCTGGAAAATCTGGAAAATCTGAAAAATCATCTGAAGACACTGGGTCATCTGGAAAAACTGGAAAAAGTGGAAAATCTAAAAAGTCTAAAAAATCTAAAAAAGGAAAACGTGAAAAAGGGCCTACTGAGAAAATTTATAAAATATTAACTCCAGAGCAGATAGAAAATAACGAGTTGAATTTTCAAATGCGGGTTTCTAGTTTAAAAGTTTGTACTGATATAATCGACGGTACGTAATAATTTATAAAATTAAATTTAAAAATTTACATTGATTACATGTATCTAAAAAAAAAATTCAAAAAATTTTTATGAAGAAGTTTTTTCGAACAGTAGTGAACTACAACAACAAAAAATTTATTTTTTATATTATTTTAATTAATTGAATTTTTGACTGGCCAAACAGTTGTTTCGATTATTGCCAAATATCCATCATTTAATTCTTGTATTTAATTATTCAAATAATTATTTTTGAGACTGTAAGTACCAGGAATCGAACTCGGGTCCTGCCAAATGTGAAGCTCAGAATCAGCGCACCTTAACCAACTGATCCAAAGCCGTACTTGACTTCTTCTGTTTCCATATATTTCTGGAGTTTTGTTACTTTTGCTATGAAAGTTTTTATTAACAATTTTACTTGTTGTGTTTATATAAGAGAGGCATTTTTTGTTGCATTATTTGTTGCATGATTTGTTCTTTCTTATGTATAGAACCTAATCTAGGAACGTAATGCTGAGAAAGTCATAAAGTTTTTTTTACATGATTCTAACAATTTTTATCATTAATTATACAGTTTGTTCCTGTATGTACTTTTTAGTAAAACTCAAGTAAAAAGTTTCCGATTATATTATAGCGCGAATTTCTAATACAAATCAATCGGAAAGAGCAAATTATTTAGAATAAAATAATGAGCAGATAATCACAATAAATGAAATGTTGATTAAATATTATAATGACCCACCAAAATAAAAAAAGGGTTTGTGTAAACAATGACGAGAGTTATGGTATATAGTATAAATAGTATAAATAAATAGTATATTCAGTAAAATATATAAATATCAACAATCTTAACCATCATATAATCATTTCGTTAAGTAGAAGTAGATAGAACCAACTTTGAACCAACTCTATTACCATCCCAAATTGTAGTCTTATCCTACATATGCTCCGTAAGCTTTTTAACTAGTTACTGTGTGGTTTAATTTTTTAATACATAATATACACCTATTGTGATATAAAATAAATAAAATACATGTGAAATTTAAAAATCATTTTTCCTTCATTTAACAAAACGATCGGTAGAAATAAATATATGTATATAATTTACTAGATTTTTACTTAAAAGCGTTCCTCTACTTTCAATTTTTCTCATTTTTATCCTCACTTGACTTTTACTTGAAAAGTACGTGAACAGACTTATTTGTATTTTTTCATCAGATGTTCAAGTAGTTGAATAATTGAAAAATAAAAGAAAAGTATTATTAGCCGTAATTTTTTCTTTCAGAGTTGTAAAAAAACGACATTAAGTCTGATTGAAACAAATTGGCATCACTTTTAAAATACGTTGAATCATTACTTTGAAATATGTTTTTTTTTGTGTTGTGTATATTATGAAATATAAAGATTGTAAACAGTAAAAATCAATTAATTTAAATAAAAGAAAACGAAATGAATATTAGAACGACAAAATGGTTAGCATTTTTGTCTTATATATTCAAATAAATTTATTTATTTATGTATTTGAATTTGTTAGTAAATGAAATCCTAATGATTTTAACGAATAACTGGAATTTTACAACATATTTCTGGTGAACATTCACAATAGATTGATTTTTGAATTTGGCTGCACTGAAACTTAAGACTTAAAAGTTTTTCGAGTAAAACCTAACTCTGAAGATTTGAAGAGTATTGTTGTTGCTTCACATGTTTTCTTTCGTAAGTTACGAGTATTTTTTTGCTTTTCTGAAAAAAAAATACGGCTATTGTTTGATTTATTAGTTTCTACTGTTATTAGGATCTAATAAAGTTTTTTGCCTTTGGTTTTGCATTGTGTGCAGTTAGCAACAGTAATTATCACTAATCATTAATAATCATTATATTTATAATTTTTAGAGGCAGCTCTTGCTTTACAAAGACAATATGCAAAGACACGAGAGGATAAAGATGTAAGATTATGGTTATTAAATAAAATTATTAAATAATATAATATCTAAATTAGTGGGAAACTTATTTACGCTGCGATGGTCTACCGCTACCAAAAGAACCATGGAATATAGGAAAATTTTTTGAAAAACTTCGGTATTATGAAAAGAAAGACGTTGATCACACCATTAACTGGATGTTAGATATTGACGAGCGCAGTTTTTTAACACAGAACTCAGATATAAAAGATAATACCAAAAGAGCATTAGAAAAGGAAAAAAAACCAAATTTTGGTACAAAATATGAAACAAATATTAAAAAGGCACTACAGGTATACGAACATGTCTAATAAAATAGCCCATTTAACACATTAATTTTTCTTATTAATGTACATATTCGAATGCAATTGTAGGTGTTGGATAATATTTATTATTTTTTTGAAGATGAAGAAGTTTTAGATAAGATCCCATACCGTATATTGGAAGAGATAATAGAGGTATATGCGATGAGTTTTTGATAAAAACTTTTCTAAAATATAATCTATTATAGCGTCAACCATATATACATAAAGAAATAAATGAGTTCTTTAATCGACTAACTTATCGATTACTATGCGCTGAGGAAGCATATATGAAGTAAATACAATATGTAAAATATCTATATAAGATAATATCATATATTTTTTATCTACATTTATATATCTAGTTATGTAGACGCTACTACGGCTGAATATTGCTACGAAGGCAATTATTTCTCTTTTCATTTATGGACTATTAAAAGTGTACCATTTGATTTTAAATTATCAGTACCGTAAGTCTAAGTACAATATACGAGCTATTAATGAATTGAGTCTAAAGTATGCTGAATTTTATAGTCAAAGGTTTCTGGTAGCAGATCTTCACCAGGTGAAATGTTCCCTGGAAATACCATTCTCCATGCTTGAAGATAACTTAACAATACGAGCCATACATACCACTTACGACCATTTTAGTGAGTATGCTAAAAGTTTCGATGCATTTTTATCCGACAATTATAGTGAAGTGCCATGTAAGTAATTTCATATTTAAATATAAAAGCCTGTATTTGCTTTTAGACCAGATATTAGTGGGACTTGCATTTAGACGCTACCATATGTGTCATATTTCAAGTAGACAAGCATAACTATGATTGTTATGTATTTAAATATTAGGACGATATAATTTAATCTGCCTAGATCAAGTTTATAGCCTACGTTATCAGTTTAAATTTCAACTTATGTGAATATAGTGCAGGATTTTAAAAAAAAGTAACACTCAACTGAATATGTGATCATGTGATTCTTAATCGTAATATCATGTTTCCACTGGTCGTCTCATTTATCCAGTTTTATTCATAAGGCCGCTAATGAGGATAATTTACTATATAAAGAGTTTTCATATGAATGAGCTTATTATAAATAAATTAACTGATTTAAGGCGAAAAATTTTCCACGATGGAAATGATCAAAATTTGAAATATTTGTGATATACTTTATATATAAAATGTAAACAACAAAGCTATTTCACATGCATAAATCAGCTTATGCCAATGGAAACGAAAAAATCTTATTTCATTAATATAAGTAGTTTTAGTTGCAGAGGAAATACGATATGACAAAACACTTGTCCAAAGGTGGTACATCCATTTATTGGGTAGCATCAATGATTAGAAACATCACACATAATTAGTTGCAAAAACATTGGCCACAAATCCTGAAATAATCTGAAAATGCTGAAACGGTTTTAAGTCTAAATAGATATGTTTTTCAGATCAATCTCTATCTTCTTAACTATATAAATTGCTGTTAAATATCACTTTCCCAACTGTAAGATAAAGAAGAGTAAAACGTTGTCTCTCTTATCTGGTCATGATTTACAATTGTTATTACAAATGTTATCTGCATATGACAGGATGAGAACGTCGAAAGGTAAAGAGAGACATGCTGCGTCAGGCCGAAACCCGGTAACGGGTTGCTATGACCAAACAAGAACATACAAATATGAATAACTATGAGTAGATTTGGATATATCCAGGTTTCTTAGCAGTTATTTCTACCTACAATGTTAATTATTTAGGTTGTTATTAAATCCTATATTTAAGCTCATTATTTTGTGACATTATAATCTTCATTGTTTTTACTTTGAAATAATTTATTAAAGCTTTGGGCGATGTTCTAATAAATGAAAGGCACATGGAGAAAGACCTTCAAGATGAAATTCGTAATAAAATCAATGCTAAGCGTGCAGAATATGAAGAAAAACTTGCGTAAGTATTATCTATCTATATATAGAACTAATATAGATAAATTAAACAACTTTGGTTTGAGTTTCTCTTTAAACTAAACTTTATTATTCTTGAAATTGTCGAAGATGATGATAAGTATATCTTTATTCAGTAGAACTCGTTCAACAAAGCATTCTCATTGAAGACTGCCAGCTTACAGCTTATTCTGTCAGAATATATTGTACTTGAGTTGCACTTATGAGGTAGTCGTATGATATGTGTTGCACTTGAGGTGCTACATATGATTACATATATTAGTTATATAGATAAAATTAAAATATTTTTCATTTTGAAGTCCTAAAAATTATTTATTTATTCAGTTATAGTTGGTTCTTACTTTAAGATTCTTTTATGTATATATTTTATAAAATTTTAAATATCTTATTCTATCTAAAAATAAACTATCGTGACATTTTATAGTTTGCTAGAAGCAGAACTAGCGGAAAAAGCTAAAAACAAAGATGATAAAGGCAAGAAAAAGAAGAAAGGTAAGCCTAAATTAACAAAAGTACCAAAAGAGCCGCAAATGATATTACCTGGCCATGCACCAGATGTATCAGATGAATTTCCTTCCCTGGAGGATCAACAATATATAGATTTCATTAATACCGCGTTTAGTCCATATTCGATGAAATTAAGGGATTCCGAAGTAAATATATGTAATATATAGGATTATGTTATATTCAATTATTTGAAAAATGTTTATGGGGTGTACTAATAAGTATTTCCAATAGTTTTCAAAATAAAAAAAAAAAACAAATGGAGTTATACATTACAAAGCTTTGCTTTCGTTCAACAATTTCTCGTAATTTGTTTATGAAAGATTTTCGGTATATTATAAAGATATGATGCGGTGTAAGTGCTAATAGATACAGCTTTAAGCAATGCCGTTTTCTATTGATAAATCTGGAGTAACTTTTTTACTTGAGATTCACTTTTAGTGCAATATTCATTTTCGGTTGTTAAATCTCGAGCAAAATGTATAACCCTCAAGATTAATTTATAACACTCTAGATATTTTACCAGATCAACAAGATTACCGCGAAATTAACAGCTGTTTTATATGACTTGACAAATAAAGTGTCCTTTCATTCGATATACATACATATGTATGTTGTTTAAAATAAAAATTAATGATTACTAATATTACATTAGTACTTTATGTTATGTTCTCCATCTGTAAATAGAACTCTCGCTGCCATTTCATACTTAATCTATAGATAAGTTACACTCCATAATTAAATAATTAATATTTATTTTTATGTTATATTTATTAACTAAATTTTCACTTCAATATAATTTTAAAATAGATCAATTTGAAGAAGCACTTGATTGTAGGTGGTATTTACAACTTTGAATTTGTAACTAAGCCACAACATCATGATTTGAATTCATTCAATGTCACCAGTCATGAGAACAATGGAGATTTACAAGTAAAAAAGGACGTTCTTATAAAAAGAGCAATTGAAGACATACCGTCAGATTTCTCTTATAGAATGTCGAAATTTGGTAGATTAAGTACCGCGTCTGCACGGGATTCTGTAACATCATTGCAAAAATTCAATGCAACCGAATCTGCTGCAACAACTGGATTGTTTATCATACACCTTGATTTGCCAGAGTATTTGTGCCGGTGGAGTGATCCCATTGCTTGTCATTTTGAAGCCGACCTAACGGATTATATTGACAGTATTATTCAACGAGAAAATGTTAGAGTTCGATCGCGTCGTCGGAGGAGCAGATTTTCCTCAAAAAGTACTCGAAAAAGTGCAACATCAAAATCTTTAGCATTGGTACGAGTAAGTAAACCTGAAGTAACTGAATTGATTGCATCAGTTCCACCACCTCCGAAAACAATGCCAATAAACTATCCAAGACTTTTGCCATATCGACAAATGGACGCAGAGAGAGTGCATCGTTCGGTGCCAATTTTTAGAAGAAAACCTATTGAACATCAAATGTCAGACTCTGAAAAAAAGATCATTCTAGATGATATCCCACTAGATAAGCAATTAACTAAAAGCGAATTACGAAATATTAAGCGCCATCTTATGCCTTTAATTTTAGCATCATATAAATTTCCATTAGAAAAATATGATGAGGAGAATGAGAAAAAAAATATAGAAATAATGAAACAGCAGAAATTGTTGGTATATCGTAGAATCTCTTATCATGCTCAGGCTAAAAAGCAGATAGCGCACATATTTAGCGAGCACAGGCAAAGAAATCCGGAACGTTTATTTCCGATATTTGCCAAAATAGAAAATACAAATGCATTTGATGAGATAAAAGAAATAATACCGAATAAGGAGCCAGAGACACTTTTTGAATTAATGGCAATATTTAAAGCAATTAAAGAGTACTGCCGGAAAAAGTATTTGAGAGTCGCATCAGTAAATTTTAAATCTAAGGTTAAATTTAAAAAAAAAAAAATACCATATGAAAAATCAAAGATCAACTTACCAGAAACCACATCAATGAAGTCAATGCAAGAAGACGTTCCACCTGTGCATTCTGAACAGAATGCACAAAATCTGATGATCGGCAATAATGAGGAAGAGTTTGGTGAAGAATATGAAGACGATGAGGAGGAAGAGGAGGAGGAAGAAGAAGAATTCAATATTGTAGAAACAGCTGAATTCGAAGAAAATATTAAACGATTTCCATTTTTATATAGTCATTGGACAACCAAGTATATTTCAGATGTGAATTACAATAAGGAAGAAAAAAAAATTTCTATAACAACCAACCGTCTTGGTAAGAATAGTTCACAAACACGCTGAGTATTTATCCTATATATATGTTTATAAACAATATTTACGGGACTGAATATTTTTACTGAATTTAGCTCAGTGCACAGTCTTTGTTATGATAAAAAAAATCAGCGATATCTTCATCTTCAATGTCGGAGTCTCGAAATGCCAAAAAAGTAGTATATCAAAAACAATTCAATAACAAGGCTACTGAGATATAATTGTTGGTTACTCTATATAATATAAATGGACTTTAGTAAGATCGTGGGCTGGTGACTTAATAGTGGGCTGGGCATATTCTGAGATTATTACTGTAATTAATTGAAATAAATGTTCTTTTATTTTATAATATATAAGGGATATTCACGATCTCAGTAATCGAGTGTTTACCGAATATATATACTGGAAATGTATTTTGTTGTTCACATTTTGACCTGTTATTATGATATGCGATCTCCGAACTTGCTACTTGAATCGGGAATATCATAGAACATTTTTGTCATATTATATTTATAATCTCACTAAACAACTAACTAATAAAATAAATAAAGGTCTAAACCACATATCATATTTTACATACAATGATATATTGTTTTTAAAAGGGTTGGGAACTATGTCAACACGTCACTGCATACTTTGAGGATTATTGTGACAGTGATATATAATTTAGCTATAAAGATTATAATTTTATTTTATTAAGAATTCGAGTTAAAAATACATATGTATATAAGTATATTTATTTATATTTATATATGTATGTATATTTATATATATTATAGTTGTATGTACGTTTGTCCTATTTTACTTCTAAGAACGATGTTCTTAAAAATTGCAGTTTTGTATTATTATCGTAATTTTTTTTATAATAATAATTTTATTATTCAAATTCGTTCATATTTTTTCATATAATATTATATATGTATATTATGTTTTAAAATAGGAGTTATTGGATTCGCTGTACCACGTTATGAGCATTTTCCGTTTCAATATTGGAGTATTGAAGGAAATCCCGAGAAGTGAGTACACAATTTTGTCATAAACACAGATATATATAATTTAGGGTATTGGGGTATTGTTGCAATTTGGGGTATTGTTGCAATTGAGACTGACATTAGAAATACACATGTTTACATAGATAAATAGCTGTTTAGCACGTAACTTTACCTTAAGTACGGAATGACGAACTCATTTTCATTCTTAATTTATTCCGAAGGAATCCAAAAATTTTATAGCTACATATTAGCTGGTGGAACGCACTTCTGTATACACAGTGTTACTCACAATTACTACGAGTAGCTCGTGGAACAGACCCATGAAATTGATCCTTACTGAAGAGGCAATATAAATCTGTAAAGTAGGTTCTATACTACTTTTTATTGACTCAAGAGGGCTTAGAGACCTACTCTAAGCCCAGAAGGGGCACAATAGACCCGACGGTCCCAGTGCCACATCCCCTAACAATAATAATAATAATATTAAATTGTTTGCTCTTTTTTTAAAAAACCTTAAATAAAATAAAAATTTATTTAAACCATCTGCTTTCAGGGAAAATGAAGTAACATTTACCTTAGAAACGATACATGCAAAATGTGTTTTTACTATAACCGATAAGGGCTATACAGGTTATGCTACAAACCGTGAAAAGAAATTTCAAGTTACGAGGCCTATATATATAAATATAGAGGAACCTATTACCGAATTTAGGGAACTAAAAAGGGTAATGCATTTGAATTAAAAGTAAATAAAAGATCTAAAGGCACAATTATTTTTTTTTGTTTAACTTTAGCGATTTCGTGAAGTGAACTTAAATATATTTCCGGATCAAGATGCTTCATTCTATGTAAAGGGTAAAGCGCAAATTTAAATATTACTATAAATAATTATAATAATATAGTATAAATTATTAAAAACTTTTTATACGATGATAGGTGGGTACTTTTCTGAGAAACATTTGGCCTGTGAGCTACACATTTATAATGCCATAGCAATACATGCAGCAAAAATATTGTTTTGGCATTCAAGTTGGAATCGTTTGGCGAAACGTCGTGATTTACTATTAAACTTTCTTCACTGTGAAGATCGCAAGGAAAACGTTAATCGTGCACATATCACTCCTACTGACGCCTCATTCGTGGAAGTACAGGAAGTGTGCTCGGATAATCTTAACGAAATAATCTTACAGTATGACTTAACTTGGAAAAATGTTGAAGTAAGCAGAATTATATAATTGTTAATTAATAATATGCATAATATTAATATTAATTTTTTTATATCACTTCAGCATTTTATAGACTTACATCAGTTAATATTGTCTCAATATCCGAATGCCAATGATTATCGCATACATAACTTCAATTTAATTTTTAATATTAAAAATCTACTGAAAGAATTGAGATTATTAAGTTATTCATAAATATAAATGCTTGTTTTATCTAGACTTTAAATTATATTTTATAAAAAATTTGTTTTTTCTCAAAGTTGTAAATATATACAGGAAACAAATATTTAACTGATTTTGTTTGTTTTATACAAAAAATATTTATTAATTGTAGATTTAAATTACAAGATCTTTTGTGTGTTAACCACATAGAATTGTGGAATGAATTCACCTGCTGGTATTAACAGCAGTTTATTGAAAAAAAAAAAATTCTTTTAAATGTTATTACAATAACTTAACTAAATTGTAAAAACTTTCTTTGTAAATGCTGTTAATGCAAAAACATTGAATGAAAGTTGATGACGTCGACATTTTACACATACACTGTCAGTAACTAGTAGAAAGTATATTGCTTAGGATCGATTGTATTTTCCCCAAATGTGTAGCATAAAAACGGAAGCAATGAAGAGCAAAGACATCACCAAGACGGGTACAGGACCACTATAAAAAAGTTGTATTGATTATAATTTAAATACAAAATTTTTTTTTTCTTCGATTAAACTTACACTTTAATACCAGGTGAATCGTCTGTGTAAAATCTCCACATACCACCAGTGCCAGCACCACCCGTTGTACGGCTTCTTGCTGCAGTGTTGCTACTTGTTGTCTTACGTTGCTTAAGATTGCTGCCACCAGCACCGGAGGCGCGTGGGGCAGATAACTTTGTTGGCGAACGTGAACCGGCGCCTACAGTTGTAGAACTTGCTGGAGCAGGCTGTTAAAAGTTTTAAAAATACATTTTATATTTAAATTAATTAAATTTAATATTAAACTCATTCACCATTTTCTTATATTTTCAAAATATTTTGGACCTATGTGGAACAACCTCACAACTGATCTGTACGAACTAAATCGCGATGGCCTAGTCAATGAAAATACACGAAAATACTGAAAGTGACATTTCGTCGTCATCGATTTACACGTAAGCTTATAAAGTTAGTTGTGATGCTAAAATTATTTTGTGAAGCGCCATCTATTTGCGAGGTTTTTAATTCTTAGTTTGAAATATTAAGCCAAAAATGTTACTTTTAATTTAACTTTTTGCCTGAGTTTTATATTTACTTGACAATGTTTTATTTTTTAAAGCTGCAATAATTACATAAATGCACCAAAATTATTTCTTATTTACTATATAAAAGTATCTGGCTTTAACTTAAAGAAAGACAATTGAAAGAGAAATGACAGAAGTGTAATATATAGGAACGATATATGCAGAAAATCACATACAAATATATCAATAAACGTATATATTCAGTACGATGAAATTAAATCTAATATATCTATATCTTAAAAACGTCATTATTTCGAACGTTTAAAAATTTTTTATGAGAACCATATTTATTTTAGAATGAAAAATATTTCTTTCTGCAACTACAATGGTTTGACTTTTGGCAAGATTTTCACGCATTCGCTCTTTTTTTACTACTTCAACAAAGTTTCGTTTGTACTCAAAATTCGATAATAGTAAATATTTGCATTGATAGAATAGAAATCTTGCCAAAGTCTTGCCAACGTAGATGCCCAGTTAATCATTAAAATCCTAATAGGATTAAGTTATAGTTTTATTAATCTAATTATACAAAATTTAAAATATTGATTAAAATAAAATATTTCATACGAATAATACTAAAGTAATATATCTTAACAGTAAACTAATTAAATTAAATTATAATTAATTAATATAAATAATGAAGCAGTGACTTACACCTTTTTTCTTCTTATCCCTGTTACTCCTATCATAGCGGTATTTTTTTGGCATTGTTTTTTTTTTTATTGTAATATTGAATATTGAACAACAGAAAATTTGTACAAAATAATTTTCTAAAATTTATTTACCATAATACATGTCTATGGTATATATAATTATTTCAAATTTTGAAGGTTACTACGTTTTTTTTAATTTGTCAATGGTTTAAAAATTTTTTAGAAGGTATATATTTTTATATAGTATTATTTAATTTTAGAAATGAATTTAGTCAACATTAAATAATATATATATTCCTATATTTATCCTATATATATTGACATCATTCTGTGT